GCAGAGTACAACTTCAAATAGATGTTTATTTTTCCGTATTTTAACGATACAATAATACTGTGATTGGGGAAGTTGCTGTGGTGCCAAGATGCCTCCCCATGGAGGGGGGCACAGACTGTGGGGTGGGATGCCTCTGGGAGCCTGCTGCTCTTGGGTTCTCACAGAGAGCAGGTGCAATCTCTGATATCTTAAGAAGGAGCAAAAGTCTTTATAGACAATTAAGAGGTAACTATGCAATAGAAGTTGGTTTGATGTCTCTACAGCTGGCTTAGAGTGTGCAGTCCCATAGATTTGTGAGTTTACAAAGAAAATGACTTTGCAAAAATTCATTTATTTTTTGATGATGCCTACACTCAAGAACTTAGGTTTTTAATGTTCCTGGGGAGCAGATGCTAAACTGCAAAAATTAACTGGCACTTGCATTTCAGAAAGCAATCATATCCGACTTCTTTATTAAGTTTACTGATAAGTGAGCAAAGAAAAAAGTATTTCTTCCATTAACAAAGCAAATAAAACATCTGTGCCCGTGAAAATGCAAGACAAAAGTCTACGTGTAAATTTGTTCTTGTGGAAGGGACAGTTAACTTGCAGGTATGGAAAGTTTCATATTCCAGCCAGGCATGGTGGGGCATATCCCTAATCCCAGGATTCAGGAAGTCAAGGTAGAAAGATCACTGTAAGTTCACAGCCAGCTTGGAGTACATAGACCAAAAAAAAAAAAAAAAAAAAAAAAAAAAAATTCTTTTGTGGATAGTAAATTGAATAGGATCTCAGGATTTAAGAAACTTCCCTTCCTTCCTTCCTTCCTTCCTTCCTTCCTTCCTTCCTTCCTTCCTTCCTTCCTTCCTTCCTTCCTTCCTTCCCTCCTCTCTCCCTCCCTCCTATCATCTCTCTCTCTCTCTCTCTCTCTCTCTCTCTCTCTCGCTCTCTCTCCCTTTTCTTCTTGGTCAGTTTTGGAGAAAACACAAAGTGAATTTCAGACTAACCCTGCGGATGGGAGCTCATTTTGGCTTCACTCTGTACAGTGAGCGATCTCTGTGTCTCATGGAGGCAGTACCACGCAGGATCAGCCCAGAGTGGGGCAGTCCGGGCCTTGAGTTGCACATTACAAGTTGCCATGTTTTCCACCTGCTATTTCTTTAATGTTTGTGTATGTGCCTGCTTTTAAAATCATCCTAGGAAGTCTCCTTAATTTCACCAAGTAGAGCCTCGCTGCATATGGACATGAGCTTCATTAGCCTCAGTGTCTCCTCCTCAGCCCTGGTAGTGACGGGCAGCATGGTGGCACAGGCAGTGGTGAATGTGTGCACAGGTGTGACCTTCAAGACCTTGAATTCCTCCTTAGTGAGGTCCAACCTGCATTCCCAAACTCAGGAGCACCATGTTCTCCTTTACATGAGACAGTATTCCTGTGGGCCAGCTATGTGGCTTGGCGGTAGAGCCCAGGTGGGGACAAGGCCGTGGACTGGGTCCTTAGCACCAGAAGGCAGGGGACTGACTGACTCGTGAGGGTGAGTGTGCATTACCTGCGCTGGGCCACAGCACTGAGATGTTTAGATAACTGTCGTGTGTGTGTGTGTGTGTGTGTGTGTGTGTGTGTGTGTGTGCGTGCTTGCGGGGCCTTTGTGGATGAACTTATGCTTTACCTGACTCTGAACAAAGCAGATTGCCCTCCCCAAGGTAGGTAGGCCTCTTCCAATCAGGCATGAAGAGCACAGGGACTGCCTGCCCTCTGGGAGCCAGGAGCAATGCTGCCAGCAGATGGCCAGGGGCCTGAAATGCAGCATCAGCTGTTCTGAGTCCCCAGCGTTCCAAACTTGTCTCTCGTGCTCTCTTCTCCCTCTTCCCTCCCTCCCCCATCTCTCCTGTTACTTCTATTTTCTGGAAAACACTAATATAAGTTCAAATTAGGTAATCTCAAGAGAGCATACATTTGATGAACATTATCATCAAACACGTAAGTAATACCTATTCCGCACAATTAAACTAAACTTTGGCAATAATCAAAATGCAACCTCTCTCAGGTATGAAGAAAACATGCATGTTTTTCCTCACATTCATGAGGACTCTGGGAATAAGACTAAGTTTTTGTACCAGGAATCAAACTCATGACCTCGCTCTTGCCAGGCAGGCACTGAAGCCACTGGGCTAAATCCCTGGCCCCTAACCCTAACCCTAAGACTAAGTATCTTGAAGGAAATCATTTTCTGGAAGCAACAATCGTAGATCTTGTCTCTATTTTCTCCAGGCTGGGTGTTGTCCTTTAATTACTGCAAAATCCTGACATGTGGGACAATACAATTTTTTTTATCACATCTGGATGAAAGTATAATCCCATGCCAGCATCTTCCAAAGCCTAGATGAGAGGCCTGTTCCACTCAGAGCCAGTCATGTCACAAATGTATGTGAGCTTCACTTTGCCCAGAAACGCTGCAATGCAGCTATTATCCTCAATGACAATTGTGTTTGCAATGACTTGGGAACGTTTAACCAGGCCAGCAGCCTCCACTGGAAGCAGACGTCTGCACTAAACAGACAGCACTGGACCTGGACTGTGACTCTCCCACTGTCGGCATCCCCAGCTTGGCTAGCATTCTCATATATGACAAATCCTTTCTGCTTTCAGTCATTTGTCACTGATACCCATACCCTCAGTGCCTAAAAATCTTGGAAACCTCTGTTCCTCTTCCGCACCAGATTATTTACTCTCATCATGGCACCCTGAGGCTGCAAATGGAACTCTAGTTCACTGGTTCATGCTATTTATTACCAAAGACAGAAAGACTCCTGTTTGTATTTGTTGCATCCTTCATCAAGGCTTCATTTGCAACAAGCAAAACATAATCTGTTCGTTCTGAAAGATGGAATTTTTAGAATCCTCTTCCACTCCATTTAAGTCAGCTCTCCAAGGATTCGACGCTGATGAAGATGCAGTCCTCTCCTGCCTTCTGTGGTGGCTCAAGCCTGCAGGAAGCAAAGCAGCGAAGTTTCGTGCTGGCCTGAGGCGCGAGGCATAGCACACTGTCTAGTGCCAGCCAAGGCCAAGGGCTGCAGAAGCTGGCAGGCTGTCCTTTCCGTCCTTAGTCGGACTCTCTGGTCCCTGTCCCCACTTGCTCCTCCATGATCTGAAGAAGCATCTTCACTTTGTTTTGTGTTGTGGCTTGTTCTAGGGTCCCACTGTCCCCTTTCTTCATGTTCTGGGAGGTTGATGCTCACTTCCAACTGCTCTTCTGTCTTGCAGGGGGACCTTGATAAATTCCTCAGTATAAATCCATGCAAATGCTAGCCATACAGTCACCAATTATTTATGTCTCCATGCAGAGACAGCCCCCAGTTTAGGACTGAGGGATTTCGAAATGATGGGAAAACAAAATGCTTTCAGTGGAAACCATGCCTCGAATTCTGAGTCTTGACTGCAGTCAACAGCATGCCATAGGATCCTCTCCCACCATGGGAGCCACTGGGTGCAGCAGCTTCTGGGCTACCAGGGCTCACTATGGATTCTCTGCTGCGGACAGGGTAGCTAAACTGTGCTGTATCCTAGGCTGGGTATATTGAATACATTTTCAACTTAGGATGTGTTTATTGGAATGTAACTCTATTGTAAGTTGAAAAACATCTGCTTAAGCTCCAAGCAGTAATTAGGATGTGTCTTCTTTTACGACTGGTAAATTGTGGCTCGGAATGGCTAAACAACGTGTGCATCAGTTTAAAATGGGATGGTGCTGGAATACAAACTGGTACAAACTCCTGGAGCCCACGATTTTTCTGGGTTTCTGCTCTCTAACACCCTTACATGATAAAGGATGATTTTAGGGCTCTGCAGACTAAGAGTCCCGGTGCTGTGGGGAACACCGTGTTTCCTTCCAGCTAGGATCCTTACCAAACTTGGAGGCCGGCTTCACACCCATTAATTTGCTTGCTGTTTTTCCAGAGAGGACTCCTTCTGCTATCTATATCCACCCGGAAACTGGTCTGATCAACTTGATTTTATAAGAAGTAGGAAACAGGATTAGGAGCTTTTGAAGTAGACTGGCAGTCACACTGTTTAAAAGCAGGGGGAAGCTGGAATTCAAACCCAGGTCTTATTCTTATGGGCGCATTTTTGTCTCTTGGGAATAGCAGCCAAGAGGAACAAGGCTCTGCACCCCCAGCCCTGGGCTTCTCCCCTCTTTCAGGCATGCACTTGGCAGTGCCAGGTGGCCTGATACAGAGCAAATCAAAGGGGAAGAAAGATCACCATGTTTCTACTTTGAAGTTCAAGGTAGACCTTTCAATCTCAAGACAGGAATGGCGTTTGGGAGGAAAAGGCTTTGTGAGTGACAGCAGACAAGCTCTTTAGAGCTGAAGCTCTGACCCAACAACAGGAAGAGAGAACCCTGTTAGAATTAGGGCTCCCCCTTGGTCACCCACATGACACAGGGGTCTTCCTTTTTGTGACAGGTGTTGCATGTTTATCGTCATGCCCCACCTCCCCATCTTCGAAGGACTAAGCACAGGGAACAGGAGACAGCAAGGACCTCCAGTGCTTGCATGCAAGATGCGGCTCAGGTCCTCTCAGTGCAAGCCCCTGGCTCAGCGTGGTACAGGCTTGTGCGGTCAGTGCTAGAGAATGGAGGCGGCAGGGACCAGCACTGGGCAGAAGCCCCGAGCCAGCCCTACACAGACAGTACTCTGAAGAAATATGGAAGAACCCAGCGGTTTTTTACTAGCACTCCAGGACTTTGAGGCATCTGAGAGATCTTCATGCAGGATGAGCTATGCTGCCACCTGCCCAGTGTCCCCATGGGGAGGGGACTTTCAGACAGAGGCTGCTTAGTGACCATGTGTTCACCACTCGTGCCATATTTACATAGGCCTCCTGGACTGCAGATGCCATCCAGTATGCGACCATGCACAAGCAGGGCGGGGCTTAAGTTAATGTCATGTATTATAAATTAGCAGGATTAAAGTCTGGCTTTCTAGTGTTATGTGTTAAGACTTTGAGACAGAAACCAAGATGATAAAAACCATTACATTTATTTGCACACTTAAACGTGAATTTACTATATAATCCTACTTGGCACATTCACTTTCCAGGGGTCAGTTAAGTTATTTTATAAGTACAAACTTGCAGTGTATGGAGAATAAAACATTCTTCTAAAAATAAAGAATTAAAGAAGTCAATAAAGAATTAAAATAGAATCTGCAAAACAATGTAACACGTGGAAAAGTATATCTGGTCCTCATATCGTTAACTATTCATTTTCCCACTGTGACTTCCAAGTTTTGACTGTCCACATTCTCCACCCACACATCTCCATGGGTGATTCCCACCCTCCTGCCACTAAATTCACAGCTTGCAGGGAGGGAAGGCTGCCCTGGAGTCAAAGGAAACCCTGCTCTAATCCTTGAGCAACTCACTAAAGTGAATTTGCCCTTTGAAAATACTGTCAACAAGATAATCTGTTTATGGGAAATCTGTTGGGGGTTTCAAAATTTAGATTGGTTTTCTCTAACCTGGCACAGCTACTCTGTAGGATTCAAAATAGGGCAGTGTCCACAGCTGCTGGCTGCTGGGCAGTGAGGAGCCAGGGCAGGAATAGTTACAGCTACACAAACCCTGTCCAGGGCAGTGGCTCTCAGCAAAGGAACGCATGGTGCTCTACAGAGCAGAGCCCAGACCCTCACTCTCCAGCCCACCTAACCCCTGCTCAGGGTTCCGCCTTGCTGGGGAGAGGGTGGCCCCCTGGTCCTGGAGACATAGCCTGGCTTCCTGAGTCTGATCCCTGACACTCTTCAGGAAGCTCAGGACTGCTGACCCACCGGTGCCTCTGTTTTCTAGAGCTCTGGGAGGTCCTGGGAGATGGCTTGTCCCCTTGCTCCTGGCTTTGGCTGGAGCCGTGATGAGGTATTTGGTCACCATGGTGATGTGGTAGCTACGCAGCTCCACCAGGGCCTCCAGGCACAGATTATAAGCTTCCAGACAGCGGGCATGGCCGGGGGACAGGACATAGTCCCTCAGTGAAGGGGCTGCGTGGATTTCTTCTATGAAGGCCTTATGTGAGGGGGGCATGTAGTCCCTCATTCTGCACAGAAAGTCAGCTGAAACAAACCAACCACAGGAATGCCTCAGATGCGTACAGACCACAGCACAGCCTCTCCAGAACTGTGGGTAAGTCCTAACTCAATCTACTTGATTCAAATGTATATTCCTGATTGTTGAAAGGAAAGAGACAAAGAAGTAAGTGCATCTCAGAGCACTGAGACAGAATTTGGTACAATTTTCAGCTACCACATAAGATAAAAGTGTAAGATACAGATTCCTAACCTGATTAGCTAAATACAGTGATGGCTTTTGTTTCTTATGTGCTTCTTTGTTTTCCTGAAGGGAATGGTAAGGAAGAAAAGAAAGTATGTATGTGGACAAAATATAAAGAGAACTGTTTTAGTAGTAATCACCTGAAGCTAAGTTACTTAAAACTCTGAGACCTGGGGGAATAGCTCAGCATTAGAGTCTTTCTCTGGTAGGAGCAACAACCGCCTGGGTTCAATCCCCAGTGCTAAAAGTTTCACACCAATAGATATGATAGGAGATTCACTACATGCTTAATACTATCTGTAGTAAATCTGTGGGTAATATCTCTAAATACTAAACTCATGGAAAACTATTACAGGTCTAGAGAATTGACTTTTATGGATGAAACTAAACTCTACGCTACTAAGGTAAAAATGACCAGAAGGTCATTTTCTTTCCTAATCCAATTGAAAGCTTCAGGGTAGGAAATGTCTTTGCACAGCTGTTGAGCAGGTAGCTTGACGCAGGCAGGGGAGGACAGTTTCAAGCTCCTGAAATAACACTCGTCCTGCCCCTCCAGTTAAGTGGATTTAGCTGGAAGCTGGGCCTTCCCTTGGGGAATGGGACTTGGGTGGAGGAGTCAGACTCTGGACCAGCCAGCTCCCCACAGGGCCATGTGACATTATAGCGTCCAGCTCTAGCTCCAGGCTTCGATTCAGAAAAAGGAAGCACCTGCCTAAGGATCCAGAACAAAATTACAAGAACAGCTGGTATTAGAGCCGTGCTTGAAGATCTGGAAATGAAACCCAAGAGCCTGCTGAGATGTGCTACTCTGATATTAATTGATTTGACTAACAGATGGCAGGCACAGTTTCTCGCTGATACGGGGAAACTACAGGCGTCATGACATTTTAATTTATACTATAGACTTCATCCGTTGGATAAAAACACCTCTTTGCTCCTCTTACCTCCCTCTTAAGAAGAAACAGAAGCACCAGCTCACCGCTTTCCTTGCTGTGACGCACGCCTAGGAGTTCGTCGAAGGCGTGGAGCACTGAGCTCTGAGCCGCGCTCCCTCCTGAGTACCCCAGGGGCTCTGCGGAGACTCCTTCGTACACCAGGCCCACGGGCATCGCTGGGTTGTCCTTCCATCTGTGTGGGGACAGAGACCGAGAGAGAAGAAGCAGGCCCTAGGAGCGAACTGTCCATTTTCCCTTAGGGAAGCAAGCAGGGAAGGGGACCGTGGCTTCCATGCTGGATTTAGAGCAGAGGACCCAGGACCCTTGTAGGGTGAGTACAGAAGATCATGTGGGGCTCACACTCCTACAGGCCCTGAGGCCGCAGGCTTTCTCTTCCTCATGTAAAGGCTTCTCCCAGAGAAGCAGGGGCGATTCAGGGCTACTGAGGTGGGATCTTTGGCGCATGCCAGACGCACTGAAACAGCCGGGTTATAATGGTGCCATCAGTGCTGACCAACGCCACAAGTCAGTGACCCCGGGAAACCCTCCACTCCTGTACCAATCTCAGTCTTGATGATTTCGTGCTTGCAGTTCAACAAATACACACGCAATCACACGCACTCCTCCTCCGCTCTCTTCTAAAACACGATCGCTGTAAGAATCGTGGCGTGCAGCGCTCAGACCCAGGCAGGGCCGGCTCCGGCGAGACGCCCTCATAGATGCTCTTGGCCGCCGGCACTGCTAACCGGGAGGGTGGAAGGGAGAGCACAGCGACCCCCGGCTCAGGGTCACGGCAGGCCCGGGACTGAGCACATGAGACTCCCCGCCTCCCCGCCCCTCCTCTTCACCCCCTCCACCCCCTGGCTGTTTTGTCTGAGCCCCCTCCTCCCGCGCCTGCTGTCGCAGTCATTTTCCTGGAGCCGGTTCCCACCGAGGCTGCAGAGGCCTCCTGAGCACGCAGCAGCCCACAGGCCTGCAGGACCTAACAGGCGCTCCACTGTTTGCACGCTGCTTGCCCGCTCCTTTCCTGCCCACCCGCCCGGGAGTAGAGCCTCGCTGAGGGTTTCTGCTCCCATCCTACAGCCCGAGGAAGGAAGACTCAGAAAAGTGAAGTTTGCAGGGTCAGACCGCCAGTGAGCAATGGAGCCAGACCTGAATGTCACTTCCCCGGGAACTCCACTATGTAAATTTCTGTTTTTACTGGGAAAAGGAATATTTTTCTCTTATTGCTGAGAACAAGCTACCTTCCCTATTTGGACAATTAAGCCAACAGATATATATATATATATATATATATATATATATATATATATATATTGTTTGTTTGTTTTTGCCTTCTTGCTGTTATTCTAAAAGTTGCTTTACTCGAGAGAAGGGTCATGTCACAATACAGGCTGCTCTACTGGGACAAAGTACTCTATTCCAGGCAGATCTAAAACTGAACTTTACTTTTGCCATTGGAGTCTTGGCTTAATTAACATTTCTATGCCTTCATTTCCTCATCTGAGTAATATCAGTATCTCCCTTTCAGTGGGCAGCATTAGTGTTAGTTATCATGAAAACTAATTAAAATAGCACTTGCCAGTGCCTGGGACACGCTAAGCACTAAATAACTATTGGTCACATTCCTTGTATTATTTAGCGTGAGATGGGATCCTTGCTTTCCCGTTCCTTATTCAGTAACTGCACAAATCTTACTGAGCCTCATGCCCCCAATATCTACCAGATTCCTAAAATGGTTAGGAGAAGGAAGTGGGCTCCGGAAAAGTCTTTGTGACTTCTCAGACGTCAGGACCCTGTTCTGAGAAACTGCTGAGCAGTGAGTGACAGGGAAGAAACACTGAAGACAGGACGGCGGCCTGCCGATGAGCGGACCCCTCGCACACAGGCCATGTGCGGACGATCTCTCTGAGCTGGGGGTGACTGGCCGGCATTTTGGGCCCCTCCTCTACTTCCTTCCCCCGGGGCCACTGCTAAATGTTGGGCTCCTGTACTTCTCTCCTGAACCCCAGACCCAGCTGTCCAGTCACCCGCTGGACAGCTCCACAGAATGAACGTCCGGAGCTGACTTCTCCCCTTTCCAAACGTGCTCCTCCGGGAGTCTTCCCACCCAAATAAATCACAAACTGAGTTTCTTCCATGCTTGAGGCCAAGAAGCTTAGTCATTTTGACTGATCTCTTTATCTTCAATTCCATATGCGATCCAAATAGTAAATGGGGTCCACAGTAACACAGACCTCTACCTCCATCCACCCATCCATCCATCCATCCATCCATCCATCTGTCCCTCTGTCTGTGCAGAATATGACTATTTCTCAGTACTTTCACGACTGCCCTTGTTCCTGTCCCCACCTGAATCACAACAGTGGCTTCTCAGCTGCTTTCCTGCTTGCCACCTGCATCCTCAAATGGCCCACTTTCCACTCAGCGACACAGTGATGGCCTGCAACTAAAGACAGGTCCATCCTTCTTTTCTCACAACCTGCCCATGTTGTCCTTTCTCTCAGAACGGAGGCTAACACACCCCTCCAGCGCCTGGTCCCCGTCCTGAGTCTTCCTCTTTCTCCCTACAGGATGAAAATGCTCCCACCCCAAGGCCATCCCTACTGCCTTTCTTCTGCTTGGCACAGGAGTCTAGGACGCTCGCTCTTTTGATTCCTTCAAGTATCTGCTACAATGTGGCATTCTTGGAAAATAGTAAAAACTAAGAAATGTCAACCACCGCACCTCACGCGCCCTCCCTGGTGCCCTGTTTGTGTGTTCCCATATTGTCTGTTGCAACGCTTACTGTACGATGGGTGTTTTATTAGATTTACTTGTGTACTGATTCATTATGTGCTCCTCTTTTCTAAATCATAAATTCCAGCAGACCAAGCTGTTTCATTTCACTGCTCTATTCCCAGAGCAACAACTGTGCCTGGCACACGGTAAGCACTCACTAAATATTTGATGAATGGATGAAGGATTCAAAGCGTTCTGTAAGACTGGATGATACACCTGGAATGTGTAAAGCAAAATGTATTTCTTGAAAAAGGCTGGCAGGCATCTCAAATGGCCAAGACCCATTAACCCTTTAGTGCCATGAACTGAGGAGGCCTTGTTAGGCACTCTGCATGTGACAGGAATCATCTGCATGCAAGTCTAAGAAGACAAAAGAAAGGTATCTACTTTCAAAATCCCTCTTCTCCAGCTAGGATGAGATGAGGCTGTGGAGGAGAAATTGGATTTCTCTGAGTAGCCCCAGAATCACCTCCAGGCCCAAACCACTGTTCATTAAAGACAGGAACTACTTTCATTTTGAATCTCTGTAGTCAAGGTTATTTTTAGATTTTCTTTTGTGTATTTTTAGTAGCCCCATGAAAAGAAGAAGTTTAAGCAGAAACAAAAAGAGGAAAAACAGCAAAGGGACTGACAATCTTCCTGAGAGACTTGATGAGAGTAGAAAATTAAAAGAACGCTTCACTTACAGATGAGTTCTCTCAGTTCTCAAATCTCTCATTTGTATGGAAGGGAGTATACAAAAAAGTAATAAACCCAGCATAGGAAAAATCATGAGTAAAACAGTGGATTCAGTTTTTCAAGAAGATCCTATCAGAAGTCCTTAAACATCCAATGCTTTTGACCATTTATATCTATCTGCACATTTTGTATTTGGCACTGGCCACTTAGCTGTATGAGAACTATTTTAAAGATTTTAAATAAGGGCAGGCATTTATGTACACTACAGATAAAATGCAGCAGTGACCCTTAACATTTTAATGAAAACAAAGTCATCAAGTGGTGCACATTTCAGAATACGTAGTTCATCCTTATCAGATACCTCTGAAATAAAAAAGCACTAGGTGGGCAGAATTCTAACAGTAGCTTCCTAAGAGTCCCACCCTAATTCCTGGGGTGGTTAATATTGCAAACAAAGACTGTCAGTATGATATACGGCAAGGGAAAGAGGTACAGTTAAGGTCACCAATCAGTTGACCTTAATGTAAGGAGTTACCATGCATTATTTAGAAGAACAGAACCTAATCGCACAAGATATTTAGAACCAGGGTGCTTTTACTGGCAAGTGGTACTAGGAGTCAGAAAGATTTGGAGCTCTAGGAGGCCGCTGCTGAGGTGGAAGGGGGCCCATAAGGGGTACAAGAGGCCTCTGGGAGTGGAAAGCAGAGTTCTGTACTAGTCTGCAAGCAAACAGAGACATCAGTCCCAGGACGACAATACATTCAATCTAAATGAGTTTGGAAGCGAACTTTTGTCCAGAGCTCTGTCCAATAGACAGTGTTCTGAGACACAACTGAGTCTGCCTGGAATTCAGACCAACAGCACTGGGAGGAAACAGGCACATCTTGTTTAAGCCACTCTGTCTGTTGTAACTTGTTATGCAACTATGGAAAACAAATTCAGACTTAGAGACCAGAGTGAAACACAGAGGGGTTTTCCATGATTATGTGCTTTCGAAATCCTAGTCAGTTTCTGTAGGTAGCATAAATTTCCCACATGGTCTCATGAGCTTTTAAAAAGCCCTTGTTTTTCGGATACCTAATCCTGCCAAAAGCATGCAGGGAAAGCCTAAATCCTGAGATGCTCTCTCTGCCCTGGTGCGCACACTTCTGGCCTGTGCCAGTCAGCTTCCTATATCCTGACAGATTAGAGATAGAAAAGGCTGGTTTTGTCTCACAGCGCAGAGGTTCTGACCCATCGTTCTGGAGTGTGACACTTGTGTGGGCTGAAGCAGAGCCACTGATCTCTGGGCACCCAGGAAGCAAAGAGAAAAGGAAAGATCAGGGTGCCTGTATTCCCTTGGAGGTGCCCCCCTGGAGGGTGCCCAGCTCCTAAAGGCTCCCCCACTTTCCGCCAGCACCACATGCTGTTGACCAAGCCCTCATGTGGCCTTTGGGGGCTTTTTGTCGCCAAACCTTAACACTCTTTGCCTTGTTTGTCTTTTCCTTCCAGGAGCCATGTATTCATCACTCACATGTTACTGTGGAAACTTCACTTTCGCTCTCTGAACCCTAAAATGAAGATTCCCCACTCAAACTGAGGTCCACTTAAAGACTTCCCTAAGCCAAAGGGAATATTTCACATATGCAGCTACTTCATCTTGACCCCAGAGGAATATATCAGGGATACAGTCCAGCATTTCCTGGGCCTCTTGCTATTCCTGGGCACAGCTCAGATTCTATTGACCACTCTTCAGGAGTCTTCTAGTAACCAACACAACATGCTAAATAATGTTTTTTGGCATTTCCCACATTGTCCTTCTACTGCCTGGATTTTTCACGTTTCATCATTCAAACACTTTATAAAACCTTTTCATTTCTCTTATTTTATAAAACCTCTTCATTTCTCTTAGTTAATGTGAAGCAGAAGTGAATGTGATTTTAAAATATCAAGGTAGGCTGACTAATATGCTTGGGACAAGAAATGTATGTTCTAAAACAATACCCAGAAATATTAAAAAATCCTCCGGTATAGTGCTGCAGTTAGTTCTGGTGGCTACACAAACTTGCAGAGGATGGTAATCTGTGAGCAATAGAAGCCTCTGCTCACGGTTCTAGAAGCCAGACAGGCAAGGCCACGGTGCTGGCAGGCTGAGTTTGGTGAGGACCCAGGTGTTAACGGCCAGATGGCTCCTGCCACACTCATGAAGTAAAAGGGGACAAAATGGGCAAATAAAGGGCCGAGCTTTTTCTCCTCAGTATCTTTTTCCAGTCCCGGAGATGAAATCCAGGGCCCATAATTGCTAGAAAGTATTCTATTTGTAAGCTATGTCCCCAGCCTCTCCAGCCCCTTTCTGAGCACTGATAACACAGTCACCACTTGAGGCCCCATCTTCCAACAGGGTCACCTCAGTGATTTAAGTTTCAAGTGTGGATTTTGGAAGGATGCATACACTCAAACTATAGCAAGTGGCACTTAAGAATATTCAAAGACTGTATTCACACTATCATCTCCGCCTCTGCCTGCCTGAACAACAAGGGAAGAGAATCGATATAAACAGCAGAGCTTTGTGCAAAGTGTACCAGCTGGGCGTCAAACCCTGAATACAAGTGGGCCTCCAGACAATCCCTCAGAACTCACATATTCAACTCTTAATGTCATTGGTCATGTAGACTGTGGCCCATTTTTTATCCAAGAGCGGAACCAGGTAATTACTTCACTAGCAAAGATCACTTGGTGTGTTTCATACTCTGGGAAGGATCTGTGTGTTTCTCCTCTCAGAAAGGCAGAAAATGCTACAGAAGCCTCATGCAGGAAAGCAGTTGAACTTACCCAGAGAGAAAGATCCGGATGACTGCATAAAATATGTCTGGGTCTACATAATCTGGAAAAGCAATCAAAATGTGAACTTTACTAGAAGCGAAAAGAGCAATTGGTTCCATGTGCAGGCCCCGCTTCTCTCCTGGGGCTGCTTCCTCCATCTGATCAGCATGGAGGCCAGAAGGGGAGCCGCCGCATGACACAGACAGAATGTTCCCTGCGTGGTCCCTTCACTGGCCTCACAGAACTTTTAAACTGTTCCATACGCTGGCCTTTTCTATTTATGGTGCTTCCCCTTTTCTGTACTCACAACTACCAAAAGGAGATAAAGGCCATCGTCGAAAAATTAATCTTTTAAGCAAACGTAGTATGTGAGAGAATGTGGGAAGAGGAGAAAAGAAAAACAGAAAATCCCTCTACTGGTGCTTTCACGGAGAGGAAAATCAAATTCACCAGTGCTCAGGTTCAGGTCCGTGTCATCTGCAGAGGACTCAGGACTGACGTGGCTCTGCAGAGACTGCTGCCCAGATCAGGGGCAGCTCTGTTTACCACTAAGCTTCATTTGCGAGTCCACGCAGGTCACTGAGAGTCTGTGCCCGTGCCCGTCAGGGAAAAGATCGTGCTCTCGTATGGTGCTTGTATCGAGTTGCTTTTCATCAACTTTGGAAGGTGGCTCTTTCTCCTCTTCACACACAGGGGCTCCTCCAACTCCAGTGACCTAGTGCATGTTTATTTTACACACACTCCTGTCTACACCGTTGTGCTTCAGAGGGAGAAAGAAACACCTTTGGAATGACACCTGCTGACAACGGCTCCCTGCCTGAATCAGTTTCCCCTTCCTGCTCCTGCGCAGCTGTCTGGTCCCTCATCTCTTCATCTCTCTGTTATCTGGAAGCCTCCCCTGATCCAGGGCTCACGTCTTCTTTCAACTTTGAGGCTTCCAAATGCAACTCTGTGGGGTCCTGGTCATCCTCTTGGAGCTTTTCCGCTCCAAAACTTTTCTGTGGGCCTACTTCCAGATCTTTCCCTTCTGCGGCTCAGTCCCCCCAAACTGCCAGGTACAATATGCAACATTTCATTGAAGAAACTATGGCTAACAATAACTTAGTATTTTATTCAATTTAACATGGAGCAGAAATCAAATCAGATTTCAATAGATATAAAAGTTTGATGTGAAATAATTTCAATAGATGTAAAAAGATCCTACTCACAATTAAAACAGCCAACTAAAAACTTGAGATAATTAGGAATAGTAGGGAACATCCTTAAACTTCACAAGGAAACTACAAAGTGCCTAGAATACATACTATAGTTAATGGCAAAATGTTAGAAGCAACTCAAGTGTGAAACTAAACAAGAATCAATATTTCCAGTGAGTACTTATTAAAGTTTATAGCCAGAGGAATAAGAAATAAGTTTTTAATAAATAAGAGTAATAAGTATTACCAATGAAGTGTTGTAGCTTGGCATAACTGATGCCATCTTGAGTTCTTCGTTTAACTAGTGCCCTATATTTGCCCCAGGAAAATGGAAAATTACTCAGGGTTTAAGTCCCACGAGAAAAGCAGAAAGAGCTATAACCACAGGAAAAAAAATTAACCTGCTCAACAAAAGAAGCAGGACACAGGTGTCAACCAAAAATTAATGTACGATTCTAGCTAAATTGTTTTGAACTAGCTTTTTGTGGTTCTCTGTTTAAAAGCTTAGTAGTTTTCCAGTTCACAGCCACTCGGTGAGACTCTAAAATGGGTCCATGTGAGTGGTCACTGAGATCATCTAATTAAATTTGAAATTTATCAGTTTGGCTGCTTGGATACCTCTATTGTTTATGAACCCACTTCATGAAGAAAGCAAACATTTCTCAAATGATATGATTTTTATACAGAAAACCCAGAGAATCTCCAGGTAATTACTGGGATTAATTGTAGTGCTTATCAAATGCTGGATTCAAGGTTAATGTTCAAATATCAACTTTAATCAGAAATGAATAGTTAGAAAGTAGTTAAGTGAATAGATACGTATTCACTAAAAATAAAAGTACCATATAACTATGAATAATGTAAAGGACAGATAAGTCCCTTACCTTGTAAAAAAAAAGTTAAAGAAAAAAACAGTAAATGAAAAAGATATGCTCTTGTATATCGCATTCACGGACAAGAAACTCAATATCTCAGTGACAGAATGCACTGAAGAGAAGTGCCCTCTATCTGCACGTATTTCAGGCCATGAGACAAATATTCGGAGCTATAAAGAAATGGTTTGGAATAATCATCCAGGGACCTTTGCTAGTATTTCACGCAATTCTTTGCCTCTCCTTCTGCATTATTCACAAGACACAAAGATGGGATGTAACATAAAAATCGTTTCCCTTTTCTCCAAGTTAACGTGTATATTTAATGCAACCTGGGCAAAATCCCTGACAACGACTGCTTCAGTGGCACTTGCTGAGCTGATGCTAGCAGAGTCTAAGCAGGGCCACACGTGGGCGCAAACCAGAGGCGGGCGTCCATTCTACCTGGAAGAGAGGAATAATATGGAGCTGCAGAGTTACAGGCAGATGGGTCCACGGTGTCAAAGCAGGCAAAGAACCGGAGCCAAGAAGAGAAGAGAATAGACCCACTCATTCAGGAAGTCTGGCATGAGACTCGTAGCATAATGTTTCATCCACAGGAGATTGGCTGGGTTTTTTTCACTCTCATACCATATACAGATAATAACTAGATGCAAATTAAGGCCTTAAACACAGAAGGCAAAACAATTTTTATGAAAATATGAAGAAATGTATTTATGACCCAGGCCTATGGAATAATATTTTATGTAAGAATTCTTTAAACAAACACATTTATAAATGACCGACAGTTTGAATACATTTCAGTAAAGAACTTCTGCTTCCCAAAGCATAAGACAAACTACAACATTTGCAGTACATACAAATCAGCCTCCAAAGTGCACCAAAAAGTCAGGACGTAAAACCTATTGCAAAACTGAGTAATCTCATGCATCCTAAGGAAAGTGGATGCGCACAGTGAGTAGCTGCTCACACGCACACATACGCGCACGCACCAGGAGACAAACAGAGAGGGAATACAAAGAGAGATACCATTTCAGAAATAAGAAAAATGCCACTCGGCCCATGATTAAACTCTATTTTACTCCCATCAGATTGAAAATGAATAATCAAGTTAATGAATGAATAAGGAAATGACAAGCCAACAACAGTATTAGATGTTGGTAAAATGAGATTTCAACTTAGGAAAAGCATCTAGTTCAGTAGAAGATGCACAAGCCTCTTCACTGAGAATTCAACTCTTCGGCCTCTGCCTGGAGCAGTCCTTACATATATACCTAGGAGCTATGGTCAAGAATATTGTGGTGGCCTTGCTTTTAATAGCAAAACAAATAAACAAATCCAAAAGAAACAAACAAAATAAAAGCAAAACTTGAGGAAGGTTGCAAGAAGAAAATATACATTTTTAATTTCTTTCATATAAAGTTAAAAACATATAAAACAATGTACTTTTAAGGGATCCTTTCTTAAAGAGTGAAAGCATACAAAAATAAAAGAGAGTAAGTAATATAATAATCAAGATGGTGACAAACAGAAAATATGTTCTGGGGAATAAAGCTGAAAAGAAACACAAGAAGTTTGCAAAGTGTTTGCTAATAGTCTATTCCTTCACTTGGAAACCAGGCAGGAGAGTGTCTATTTTACTATTATTTTGGATCTTCCACTTATATCTTCTGTTTTGTTTATACATTAAATATTTTATTTTGAAAAAAAAAAAAGGTGGCAGTGTGGCTGTTCGATTTTGAGCTCACAGGGACCCAGTGGACTTTCTATTACCCGCCACTGATCTATTAGGGCACACTAGGAAGTCAGGCTGGGAGCTGGGGCTGGGAGCCATGCAGAGGGCGGCAGGCAAGGACCCTCCTCCACCAGCACCCACCTGCTGAGCTGCAGCCCTTTGAAGGCTTTTGCTTTCCCCAGGGGGGTGTGGCTAACAAGGGGCATTCCGAGAGCAGGGCCCCTATTCTGCAGGGAACTCCAAGAATCACATCACAAATGTGGTTGAGGCTTCTGCATGACTTCCTTACACAGTGGATGACAGTTTCTGCTCATGCAGCCACACCTAGGTCTGTACGAGCCTGGGTAAACACCTTCCTTTCTTTTTAATTAAAAAAAAAAAAAAAGACTAAGGTAAAAGAGGACATAACAACACAGGTCAGAAAAGAACAATTTAAGCAACACAGTGTTTCTCCACAAGACAACCTGACATAACAATAGCCACCACAGTGTCTCTTTCCTTGAAATATCTGAGTATACCTTCATATACTATAGTATCAAACATAACAAGACAGTGTAAAACCATTCAAGAGAATGAAAGTATTACAGGGTATTCAGAACCAACTAACAGAACACAAACAATGGTTTCTATATTATCTCCTTGTCCATAAAAAATTTTGTTTATACTATCACATATAATAAAATCCATTAAAATACAACGTGATAAAACCAATGGAGACAGAACAACAAAAGCTTGGTAGGATTTTAAAACAAGATAGTATTAAATCAGCACCAGCTATTATAATGTCTTGTTTTTTTCAAAATAGCTGTTCATACCATCACAGACAATAAAATCAAACAACCCAGAATAAAACCATTCCAACTAATGAATGAGAACATTATAGGACTTCAAAGCAATATAATGGGGAATCATTCTTACCACATACTTTTTTGTATTCTTACCATGTCTTACACTAGGGAAACTATTCGGTATTTATACATGTGAGTTTGATTTATTTCGCTTATGAGTATGGTCTCAAGCTGCGTCCATTTATTTATAAATATCTCAGTGTGATCATTCTTTGTAGCTGAGTAAGTACTGCATTGCATAAAAATAACACAACTTTTTTATCCATTCCTCAGTTGATGGACACTTAGGTTGTTTCCAAGATCTGGCTATTATAAATTGTGCTGCTATAAACATGGGTGCACATATATTACTGTGGTATGATGTTTTCAGTTCTTCTGGGAATATGCCTAGAAGTGGAATAGCTGGAACAAATGGGACTTCCAATCCCAGCTTTTTGAGGAATCTCCAGACTGACCTCCACAGTAGTCACACCAGTCTACATTCCCACCAACAGTGCAGGAGAGTTCCTTTTTCCCCACAGCCTCTCCAGCATTTGTTGCTGGTAGTTTTCTTGATCCTGGCCATTCTTTCAGGAGTGAGATGGAATCTCAGTGGTTTTTAATTTGCATTTCTCTAATGACCAATGATGATGAACATTTTTTCATGTATTTATTTGCCATTTGTATTTCTTCATCTGAGAAGTGTGTATTCATCTCAGATGCCCATTTTTGGATTGGATCTTTGAATTTTGGGGGTCTGATTTTTTAAAATTCTTTATATGTTTTAGATAGAAGTCCTTTATCAGAGGGACAGTTCACTAAGATTTTTTTCCCAGTTTGTGGGTTTTCTTTTCACTATGCTGGAGATTTCTATTGATGTGCAGAAACTTTTTAATATGATGTGATCCCAGTTATTGATTCTGGTAAGTATTTCCTGTGCAGTTTGATTCCTGTTCATGAATTCTCTACCTACCCTTATGTCTTCAAGGTTTTCATCCAATGTGTCTTCCAATAGATTTAGTGTTTCTGTTTTAATATTCAGATCTTTTTTTTGTTTGTCTTTTTCATTTTCATTTTTATCGGTACCAGGGATTGAACTCACGACCACACACTTGCAAGGCATGCGCTTATGCCGCTGAGCTAAATCCCCAGCCCAATATTCACATCTTTAGATTTAGATTTTAGATTTTATTTTAGTACATGGTGATAGGCATGGGTCTAGTTTTAGTTTCAGCATATGGAGAGCCAGTTTTTCCAACACCATTTATTAAAGAGACTATCGTTCTTCCAGTGAACATATTATCAAAGATAATGTGGTTGAGTGTGTTTGTAGTTGAGGTTCTAATCCATTCCATTGATCTTCAGCTCTGTTTTTATTCCAGGAGCATGTTAATATTACTACTGTTGCTTTGTAGTATAACTCCAAGTCAGGGATCGTGATGCCTCCTGCTTTGCCTTTGGTGCTTAGAACTGTCTTTGCTATTCTAGGTCTCTTCTGGGTCCAGATAAATTTTAGGAGTTATTTTTCTAGATCTATGAGGCATTTTGATGGTATTTTGATGGGGATTGCATTGAATCTGTATAAGAGTTTTGGGAGAATGGCCATTTTCACAATATTTATTCTTCCTATCCATGAGCAAGGGATGTCTTTCCATTTTCTGAGATCCTCTTCAATTTCTTTTTTTCAGTCTATCATAATTTTCCCTATATAGATCTTTCACTTCTTTTGTGAGAATAATTCCTAAGTATTTCATTTTTTTGATGCTAGTGTGAAGGGTGTGGCTTCTTTTATTTCTCTCTCTGTGATTTTGTTGTTAGTGTATAGGAATGCTACTGATTTTTGAGTGCTGATTTTGTATCCTGCTACATTGTTGAATTTATTTATTATGTCTAGGAGTCTTTCAATATCTAGGAGTTTTGGGGGTCTTTCTGTAGAGTGTCATGTCATCCACAAATATGATAATGTAACTTCCTCCTTTCCTATCTTTACCCTTTTTTATTTCTCTCTTTTATCTAATTCTTCTGGCTAGAATTTCTAGTACTATATTGAATAGGGGCCTTAAGATGACGGATTGTGAATGCACAGGCCATGCTAACGCTAGCAAGAAACCAGATGAGAACAGAAATCACCAAGGAAGGTGAATAGAGAAAGAAAAACTCCTACAAACAGGCGGGGGAAAGATGAACCTCGAAGGCCTCAGCAGTGATGATGAAAGCCGAAAACATTATATCGCTACATTCAGATCTAAAAGAATATAGTTGCCTGCGAAAATATTTCTCATATTGGTATGAAATAAGGTATGTTTTAGATGACAGAATTTATCACTAACTCACTAGTGGGAATCCTGGAGGATGTCTGTCAGGCAAAAGAAATACGTGTAAGAATGAGCACAGAAAAGATGGAATGGAAAGTATGTAAGCAGATCAAAATGAACCGTCACCACACACAAGTGTAATAAGCACTGTAGTTTAGCTAGCTTTGTGGTAATTTAAGTTCCTATATTCCTAAATAGCTGTCTATAAAAGATGTACAAAACCTTCGATGTTTTGAAAATTAGCTTCATGTGTGGACAGGGGCATGCATTTTCAGAATAGATACATAAAATTGAAAAAACTGGATTTAGGTGAAAATTGGGTTTAAGATAGTAACCCAAATGACACAGTTATATTCAGATTGCCACATGTAGCTAATGTTTTAGAAATGCTAACCTGATTTCTATGGAACTTAACAGATAATTCCAATGCTAATTATTTTCCAGCTGGATTTAAGCATAACTTCACAAGCTAAAAGGGAAAATTTCTTTGACAAAGTTGCATGAAGTAATCAAAATTAAATCTCAACAGAAGTTCACTACTGTTTAGTCCCAGTTTACTCGTTAGAAAGCCTAACCGAAACACTTATGCCAAATTATTAGAAGGAATTATTTGGCTTCCCAGTCTATTAAAAGGAAAATTCTTAAAGCTACCAATGGATTGAGTGGAAAGCAGAAGTTCTATTGACACAGAAGGAAATAAAGGGGAAATTTCCCCAGCTTTTTTGGAGAGAAGAATATCATTTAATCTCTCTTTAAAAATTAATTTTTAGAGGAATCATCAATAAATATACAAAATAGGTATGTAAATAACCCAAATGCTTGAGAATTGGAAAACATAATGGCAACAGTTGTACCTAGTTGAGCACTATGTCAAGCAGTCAAAAAATAAAAAAAAAAAAAGAGCACATGCAGACCTTGAAGATACTTGATGTTGAGATGAATGTGTTATTTTTAGTGCTCTTATTATGTACCTCTGCCTTATGGCGAGCCAGATTCTGAAAATAGGGTGGTCTGGCTTCTGCAGTCGGTAATGAGTGCTGTGCTAGCTGGGCAGAGGCTGAGCAGCCTGGGTCAGGACAGGGATTCTCTGAAGTCCCAGTTAGGGCTGTGAAGGCGTCATCTGCCTCCCTCTGGCCTCAGCAGGCTGCGGCCCTGAAAGGAAGTATTTGTGGGAGAAAGAGGTGGAGCGCACACGGTTTGCCAAAGCTGCACTCTGAGAAAAGCGATTGTTTGATGAGCTCTATTTTGGGGCCTGACAGCAGCGGGAGGCAGTCTAGTCAAGCTCTATTTATCATGGAGTGGAAAAGGAACAGCTGTAAACCGGAGACAATGCCTGGAAAAATTGTGTATGGTTCCTCAGACCTTGTAGCTTCTAGTGTTTCCTTATATTTTTATTTTTATGATAGACTGTAGTGTCTGCTGCAACACAAGGAGCCACGCTCAGTGGCACGGGGCTCTGTGGGTGAGGGTACAGGGCAAGTGGTGGCGGCTTCTCTGCTCTACGGGTCAACACCACACTGGCCTCAGAGCACTGTGCGTTTTTCCTGGTGTTTCAGTACCCAAGGTGGAAGCCCCCTCATCCCTGGCCTTGCCTCATAAGTCACATGCTGCTTCTTGTCACAAGCAGAGCCTCTGACTCCCCCTGGGCTGTGAGGGGAGTCCAGTGGCCCTGGGGAGCAGTCCACAGAACGGCTAACTTGGGGAAATGCAGACACGCCTGCTCTGTTACCCTGTGAATGAACCTTTCCCATAAAACAGGACTGCGTGGGAAATTTACCGCTGGGGGAGCCCGGGAAGGTGTCCCTGGAACCTCCCCAAGCCATTGGCCCTCCTGGAGAGGATGATCACAACAGTAAAGTGTTGGTCTGAGCTTACAACTTGACCCAAAGATGCCAGCTGGGGAAGCCTGTGCAGTCAGCCGGGATCTGCCCAGGCTTTGCGTCACATGCTGGAAAGGGTCCTGTGCTCAGCTTAGGACCCTGCCCCTGTGCCATCCCGAAGCACCTGCCCCCAGTACTGAATGTGGGATATCTTGGTAGAAACTACATCACCAGGATCACTACCGATGCGACCACAAAGAGCACTACGGCTAAAATGAAAGAAAATGGCAAAATTGCAAATGTACAGTGGAGAGCAGGGAACTGACACAGAACCCACGGGCTTTAGGCAGATATTCTCTAGCCCGCAGTATGGGATGCCCAGTAAAGCCGTTCTGGTCAATACCCAAAGCTCCACATCCCTCACCTCTGGCCCCACTCCCTGTCCTGCTTCACATGAATGTCCCCTTCCACAGCATTCCTTCCTCCCAGGGGAGCAGGGCTCAGGAAAGGGATACTGAGAGTGCCTCTCACTTGCTAATGGATCTTACCCTTCCTCCAACCCATCTTAAAGGGCTGGTTTTTAGCTCTCCCTAAGACAGGAAGTCCAGAACCTGCCAGATTCTGGACACTGATGGTAAAAACCAGACTAAGAGGCGACAGCTTCGCTGACCACATCTGTGAGAGCTCATGTCTGCCCAGCCACAGAGAGCCCACAGCTGAGTTCAGTCCAGTGGGAAGCCACAGTGAGGAAAAAGATACAAAGGGCACCAGAGAGTAGACAGACAGACTTCCTCCCTCCAGCTGGCCCCAGTGGGGAGCTCTCAGGACCCCGGAGACAGCGTAGGCCTGGCTCCTCCTCCCAACATCAGCAAGGCTCCAACACTCCAAAGACATGTCCTCCCGGAAGACAGAAAACTGTCGAATCGCAGCAGAACACAAAGGACAAATTGCAACAATATCTCTAAAGACTGAGCGCATTCTCTGAGCGTACCTTAAAACAAAGGTGATGCGCTACTGCCATCTGGTGGACGAGCGTGCCACCGCCCACTCAGGCAGCCAGGCCTCCGGAATGACCCACCGTGCATTTGTCCCAAGGTCCTGGTGATGTCTTGGATTGAGAGTCTCAGGCGCTGCAGGGCCTCGAGCAGGGCGTCATCATCGGGCTGCTGGATGGCACTGATCACTTGAGTAAGAGCCTAGTGTGGGGGGGGGGGGTGCAGAATTGTTACCCCTCAGGCCTGGGAGGCCGGGCCCAAGTAGGACAGCCACTGGCCACAGAGGTCCAGGGTCCCTTCCTGAACTAGAGCCGCGTGAGATCGGCCTGAGGGCCATGGTCTCCAAGAGCACCACCCGGACAGCACTGGTTCGATTTCTCTGGCTTTTTCCATTAGCTGCTGCCTCCTGTACTGCTCATTCTTTCTCTTGATTTATTACATTATTTCTAATTTTACATCTCCAGCTGGGCAACTGCACTCCAAAACTCTGTCTGATATGAAATCAGATACCTCTGCCACAAAGCTTTCTTTTAGCACAGTCCCTACACTGAACTACATTTAGAAGGCAGGTATTTTCTTAGTCTGTACCTTCCAGGGCTTTAGCCACACGGAGAAGTGGACCATACGATTCACTTTTGGGCTGGAGGTTGAACGGGCCAAGCATGCACAATATACCTTAGCTAAGGCCCACTCTCTGCCTTTTTCAGAGACTGAAGATGTTACACTGACCATAGCGGCCCTGGGCACCTTACTCAGAACACAGTAGGCACACAATATGTGCTCACCAGGAAAGGTGCTAAAGACAGGCACAGATTTAACATTAATATCTTTAGGCACAGCGTAAGTGTTCCAGCTGATTGCAGGTGGTTCAAGATTTTCCTCTTTTACTGGCCTGTGTGGTACCTGATCAATTCCTCAAAATACTCAAGCTTGTGACCCCTTGGGGCTGGGTCACCTCCATGATGCCTTCCACAGTTAAATGTCGTTCATTTGATTTTCCTCTGAGTCTTTGCATAGTGATTTTCTTGGCCAGAAATCTGTCTCTCTCTTCCCTGCTCATCTCTTTCTCTTTCCTGCACATCACTCAGGGGCTAACTTAGCAGTCATTTTTCTGGGGAGTCTTTTTCTGACCGTTCAAGTCCAGATTAAGTTTTAGCTATCATTCTGTGAAACACTGCATTTTTCTTCCCTTTACCCTGCATTAATTCATTTTCCCCCACTAGATCATAAGCTTGAAATTTGTAAAGCCTAAATAGTTTGTCTCATGAACCCTGATTTCCCATGGCCATCGGAGGAGACATTGTCTGCTCCAAGACTCACAGCAGTAAGGACCGGGAGGGGAGGAAAGCTCACACTGACTTCCTGTTTAAAGGGAAAACAAAGACTGTGAAGTGAGAAGATACCTTAATCCCAGGCACAGCGGCTTTTTCCACCAGAACTGTCACCAGCACGAAGCCACGCAGGCTCTCTCCCCCAGGAAGTGACACGATGGTCTCCAGGTTACTTGGGAAGGAGATGGTCACACTGTCAGGCATGTGGAGATGGAGCCCATCCACAGCTCTCACTGAGTCAGATCACTGCTGGGGAAGTAAGCAGGTAGCTGCTCCTGTCCAAGACAGCCACACTCAGGGAAGAGCAAGGGTCAGGTCGAGCCTGAGGTTCACCTGGCCTGAGGACTCTCGAAGGCTTGCATGGCCCTGAGGGTCCTAGACCAGTTGTGGTGCATAGGTGACACATGCAGGCCCTGTCAGCATGGGAGTCAAGTCACCCCAGCCGCCAAGCTTCCCATGAGAGTTGTTTTTTCCCTAAACCCTCAGTATTCAGGTTTGATTGCACTGGTGGTTGACTCTTTGCAGTAAATGGGTTTGGGTTGCAGCTCGGGCACTGGTCTCTAAAAGACTTGCATCTAGACCATTGCCCCGGTGGAGGAGTCAGCTGAAACAGCTCTCAGTGAAAAGTGTAGCTAATTCCTCCGGGTCACTTCATTGTGGTCCTGAGCTGGAGCCCCAGAGCCCCAGTGATCATAGGAAATGGATAAGACTCTTCCCTTTTGAAAGCTGTGAATCTACCTCCTGGAGACACAAAACAGTTTGCCCAAGGCCACATAGCGGGGGGTTAGGCACAGGGTCAGGTAGTTCTGTGGCCAGGACAGTGCTCCTTTTACTCTGACATCTACAGGCTGCCTCAGAGAGGAGGAGCTGGGAGATCTTCTAGACATTGTTGTAAATGATCCCTTATCCTTAAAAAGATCCAGGCATCTCAGCTGTATCCAGTGTACAAAACTCATGAATTAACTTTATGCATTACTTTTGTCTCTAATACTTTAAATCTGAGAGAAAAGAGAAACACACTAAAGCAGAACAAAACAAAAATAAGTCCTGACTGTCACTGTCTCAGCAGAGTTGCATCGGCCCGGGAGCCAGGGCTTCACCTTCCCTCTCCCATCTCCTGAGCTAGGACACCCTTGCCCTGGTGTCCTTTAATGGGCTGCGGCCGGATGGGGGGCACAGGGCCTGGGAGGCAGCCTTGGTCTCTCGGGACAGTGGGGTTGAAGCCCACCTATGTCACAGTGGGCCACTGAAAGGGATTCTTCCCTGGGTGTAACCACCGCCTGCAATTGAGCCTTTCAGAGAAATCACAGGTAAGTCAATCTTCTTCGGGCCTCAAAGAATCACAGAAACTTGGTGAAGTTTTGTTTGTTTCTGTGTATTGCATTTTACTTACTCTGTGATGCACAGATGGGGAAACACAGTAGAATGTTTCATTGCCTAACCTCTACAGGTCAGAGCTAATGGTTGTTGACTTTCAGAATTTTCATTTTTGGCACATTTTTTCTTGTCTTCTTTCAGACAGTTTGAATAGCTGATATTATTCTACACATGTCAATTGGTATGCTTTCTCTGTTATCTTATTATAAGTTTTTATGATTAGTTATGAATGCTGAAGTGACTGAAAGATTTCTGGCAGCATACCTGATTTCCAGAGGGCTGGTCAGTTCACGGTCCGCCACAGAGAGAAAAAGAAAAAGGAGGAAGAGTTCAGTGTGAGCACCAGACATGGGTGACACGCACACTCACGGGAAATACACATGCAGGTGCTGTCATCCACGCTCGCCTTGGGGGTCACAAGTTGGGACTGAATCTCAGCTCACCTATTGGCCCCAGTGTAAGTGGCCTCTGGTTATCCTGATAGATTATTTTCTTCCTCTTATATTTTTGTAATTGCCAGAAGTTCATATTTTCATTATCTTCTCCTTGCTCATCTTTAAAGAGTTGCCTTAGATCAAGTCTTGCTCCCCTCACCATACTTTTTTGTGATATTTAAACCTGCACTGGTGTCACTTTTATGAAATTCTAGAGGACACGTGTAATCCCAGAACTTGGGGAGGCCATGTCAGAAAGGTCACAAGATTGAGCTCAGCCTGGGCTATGTGACAAGATCCTGTCTAGAAAACAGAATGAAATCATCATGGTCAGGCTTCATGGGTTTGCATTGTGCATTTGTGATTGTTTCATTGTCTAGAGCTTGGATTGATGGTGTCAGTTCTACACCCATCTAGGGGTGGAGCCAGCATACAATGTAATGGCAGGAAGAAAGTCTCAGTCTCTCTCTCTCTCTCTCTCTCTCTCTCTCTCTCTCTCTCTCTCTTCTCTCTCTCTCTCTCTCTCTCTCTCTCTCTCTCTCTCTCTCTCTCTCACCAGTTTCTGCCTTGTTGTTCGTAACCGCCATGAACTGCGGCCCCGCCATGCCACCCTGCCTTGGAGCCAACTGAATATGGACTGAACCCTCCAAAAACTGTAAGAAATAAACCATGCCTTTCCCAACTTTGGGCATCAGTTATTTTGTCTCAGCGATGAGTAAAAAGTAACTAAGACAGAAATATTCTTGTCATTGCTGGCATTCTTTGCACTTTTCACTCCTACTGTTCTTTGGCAGTTGTCATGTACTTCCCATTATTTAACCACCTTGGGTGTACTTTAATTCATCTCATTCCTTCATAGTACTGAGATGCCACTAGCCTGTAGAAGACTACAGAAGGTCATTACCAAGGACAACTGGGAGCCATAGGCTGCCTCTGCTCACTACAATTAATTAATCTAGTCCTGCACTCTCACTTCTTAAGATGGTAGCTTTCTCTTGCTATATTTTCAATTTTCCTAGCCCAGTCCAATAGTTTTTTCTTTTCTCTTAAATTCCAATCTAGCTGATTTAATATGCCATGTCCTGACCAGAATAAATCGTACACATATTTATTATTTCATCTTACCCAAATTCTAAGCCAGATTCAATAGCTTCCAATGGTTGCCAGTTTTGTCATTAAAGCACAATTGGTTAAATTCCACAATGGACAATTACAGAAAGCATAACATCCAGAGCGCAACAGTCCTCCAGCACATATGGCCAGATTTCACCTCTTCTGAGGGTATACAAGTTAGTCAGTCCTAAGGCTAAGTACCCTTGAGGGTTTCATTCCTCACTGTCGCCTCCTGTCATTTCCTGCAGCGATGCCATGGCTGCCTCTAACTGTTAGGCTCAAGAAGTTCTCCCCGCTGCCTGACCTCAGTGATTATTTGGCTGTTTTAATCCATCACAAAAGTGAGTGCTATCCATCTCTTGCATCTAAGCATGAAATGCATTTGACTGAAATTCAAAGGGAAATTTACACTTGAGTTTTCTCACTCATTCTGGGTTATGGGTTTCTTGTTTGTGAAAACCTCATGCTAGTTCTAGAGACAAATGCCCCTATTCCTACGACAGCTGTCAAAGGAAACCTAAGTAGAATAGATGGCACTGCTAACCAAATTCGCCTTGCACCACACCTAAATCACCAACTTTTTTTTCTTTTGCATTTTTTGATGTGCAGGGGTTAGGTATCTGGATAAGGCAAGTCAGGGGTCTCGTCTCTGCTCTAGGACAGCTGAGCTGGAATCACCAGAAGGCTCTTTCATTCACATTTCTGGTGCCCATGCTGCAGCCTTGAAGGCTGGTTGCAAAGCAAGGACTGATAATCCCATTGCTTGCATTTCAGCCTCTGCTGGGGACAGGGCTCCTCACAGCGTGGTGGCTAGGCCACAAGAGAGGGTGTCCCTCCAGGAAGCACAGAGAGCCAGTGTCCCCAGTGTGCAGGCAGATTTTAGCACGATGCTCAGCTGCCATGCCCCAGATGCCCACAGCATGACTCTGCTGTTCTCTTTTTATTGAAGTATGTTTGTGATACATGATGTATCATGTATCAAGAATTGGTACATGCATACACCAGTCAACCCCTCCCCCCTCCTCCCACCTCCTCCGTCCTCCACCCCCTACTCCATCTCTGCTCGGTCTGCCTTTTCGTTTCCTACCATCTCTTCTCTTACTCTTTATTTATATTTTAGGTTTCTCATATAAGAGAAACACACCTCTTAATATCCTTAAGCATTCACTTGTGGTCTCTGTGTAGTGATCAGTTGCTGAAACCCTGGTCCTAAACTGATTAGGATGGAGAGTATAGTGGGGAATAAAGAGTTTGATGAAAAAGAATAAGTATGGTTTGACTATGCAGGAGTTTGGAAGTCATGCTGAGGTATCCATGTGTGACAGGAAGTAAGAAAACAAAAGTGGTCCAGGGCGACATATGAAGAGTAGATTAAGAGGAAACTTTGAGGCTTGTGGTTATCGAGCTCATTTTCAAGTCGATCCTTCTTTGGCACCATAAAGGAGATAAACATGAACAGCCCTAATTCTGAAATAGCTGAAAACGCCTGGGACTTTTGTGGGAGGAGAGTTCAATCGCTGAGCCTGTCCTTCACTGGGTTTCAGTGTGCTGAATGAGCCAGGGTCTGTCTCCCTGCCTTACCCTTCTGGGTCTTTTTTAGTCCAGTTTGTCAACACCAAGTCAGCGTGAACCAAGATAGGTGGGAACCCCAGGGTCCTGGAGACTTCCACAAGCGGAATGGCAAGATTTCTGGGCAGTACCTTTGAGAGATAAATGCTGACAGTTAGCACATTTGAGAAAGAATATAGGCGGGGAAATGATAGCGGTAATCTTTTACTCCAGCAATCCTGATCAAGAGAGGACCAAGCACAAATGTGAATTACCTGGTGATCCTTGTTTATGGGACTGGCACAGTTTTCTTGAGCAACCTGAGAGAAATATTGCTCAGGAGGACTTGTGACAAATGTGAAAATACAAAGTTGGAACTCACATTAAGTTGGACAGCAGGAATTGAAGAGAAATATGGAAATGTGTAGGCATAAATTGGGGGCTAAGGAAGTACAGATTGGGAAAACCTTCTTTAGATAGATGCAGAATTATAGTTATAATATAGATGTATAAATAGGTAACTAAGGGGTGGGGTGGGGGTACAAGTGTATATGTGTGTTCCTCAGGGAGACCAGAACACGCTAGGGAGGAAGCGGAGGACTGGACTCTCAGCATGTGTGGTACTCACTGTTGGTCACTTCTGAGGTCAAACCCGGTAACAACCTTTGAATAAGGCCCAGAGACAGGACTTTCAGCCTCTTTCCTCTACTCTGCCTCCATACTCCTCCTTCTAATTTCAAACTGCACTTTGGGAAGTGAAATACAGTCTGCACCTTTTGGTACAACATCACTGAAACACAACCACTTTCCTTAATCCCAGAGGATGCCTGAAGTCACAGGGCCATGTCTGAATCCCATTGGCTCAGCTGCTGATTTTGCAAACTTGCCCTGCACAGATGCTGGCTGAGCCCTGCCTGCCACAGGGCCCAGACAGCTGCTCTGCTTGTGGGGTTTTTCAGCCATGGTAAAGGCCAAATTAATGTAGACAGGAAAAAAATTCTTAAGCTCCTCACCTTCCAGCTCTTTCCCAACAATGACAGGAATACCTAGGAAAAAAGCTCTATTTCTATCTTTTTTGAAGCTCATATTTTTAGATAATGTGAGATAGGAGAGTTTGGGATAGGAAGCAATGCAGAGCTTTAACACGCCTGGAAGATGAGCTTTTCTCAAAGGCAAAGGGTGGATGCAGGTCTTGGGCAAGCGAGGATTCTGAGGATTCTGGGGTGGAGACAGACCAAGGGAGGCTCCTGGAGGGCGAAGGGCTAGGAGCAAGGAACCATGTCTGGGAGCCTGGAGCTGCATCCCCTCTCCCTTCCTCACCTTCCCCTAACTTAGGAGAACACCGTAGGGAGTGGTGTCCAACCTTTCAGAGACTGAGTACCAGCTGCAGCCCCAAACCCATTTAGTTGTGCAAAGTGCCAACACTGCCGTTCAACCCGAACACTGAGGTTTTAGTTTCAAAAAAACCCAAATCTACATTAACATGTTGTGTTAAAAGAAAAACCCCAAAACATGTGTGCTATAGGTTTGCCACCACCACCACCCCAGGAAGCTGTCAGACAGTACAAGGGGACCCAATGGAATGCTGTGTTGAAATTTCAAATGGTGCTGGATCAGATACGCAGTTTGTCACAGTCCTGTCTCAGTGTTTGCAGGAGGGAAAGAAAAGAAATCTTCATTTAAATGAACCCTATGCATTTTTAAATGGGTAAATGATCTGAATGGACACTTCTCAAATGAAGATATGCAAATGGTCAATCAGTACATGAAAAAAAGTGTTCAGGTTTTAACCATGGGGAAATTGCAACAAAACCTTCACTGAGGTTGCACTTCATCTTAGGAGGAATGGCTATTATAAAAAAACGCTGGCAAGGATTTTTTGGAAAAAAGAACCAGTATAGACTGTTAGTGGGAGTGTAATTCAGTACAGCCAGCCACTATGGAACGTGAAATCCTAAAACACCGAACATGTGAACCAAAGGAAATAAAGTCAGAACACAAACCTCAGTGATACCCAGGAAAGGACCAGAAGCACTCCTTTTGCAGCACAACCAGGGGTAACCACGTGCAGGGAGAAACTGCAGGGCTGGCCCCGGGCTGGCCCCGCCCAGCCCTGCTCTCCCGCATTTCCCTGGACTGCGCTTCACCCCCCTGTCCCCGCCCCCGTCCCCGCCCCGTCCCCGCCCCCGTCCCCGCCCCGTCCCCGCCCCTGTACCGCCCCGGCTCCCGCCCCGCCCTGCCCGTAGCCCCGCCCCTACTCTTCGCCCCCGCTTCTTGCCCCGCCCTCCCCTTCGCCCTGCCCTAGGCCCCGCCCAGCTCTGCTCTCCCGCATTTCCCTGGACTGGGTTTCGCCCCTGTCCCCGCCCCTTCCCCGCCCCCGTCTCCGCCCGTCCCCGCCCCCTTCCCCGCCCTGTCCCCGCCCCTGTGCCGCCTCGGCTCCCGCCCCGCCCTGCCCGTAGCCCCGCCTCTACTCTTCGCCCCGCCTCTTTCCCCGCCCACCCCTTCGCCCCGCCCTTGCCCTGCGCCCCCCCCCGCCCGCCGCCCCCCCCCCCCCCCGCTCACCTGCATTGGTTGCCGCTCTCCCTCCTGCCACACGAAGCCGGCGGCCAGCGCGCTGAGCAGCAGGTGCGCCAGGCGCCGCGGGCGGTGGCCGCGCAGCAGGCGGCAGCTCAGCAGCGGCATCTGCGGGGAAGAAGCGGTCAGCAGCGGCCTGGTGGGGCGGCTGCGCTCCCTCGCTCCGAGCAGGGTACCCTGGGCGTGGCCTAGCGCCCCGGGCGGAGTGGGGCGGGAGAGGAAGCCTCACGGCGCGGTGCCCGCCGCGTCCGCCAGGGGGCGGGCTGCTCCCGCGCGGCGCCACGCCGGCACTGCCCAGGCCCGCTCGCCGGTCCGCTGCGGCGCCAGTAGGAGTCGCGGTTCCCTGGGGAACTTTCTAGCGGCCGCAGGGAAAGAAAGCAAAAAAGGGGGGAAAAAACGGGTAATTAGCTTTTAACAACGTATTTTAAAGTCATTGTGTAAGAAAATCACGCAACAGTAAATAATACGAAAATACTAAGTGCCCTACAGTGCTGCAGGAACACTTCACCTTGGGATCTGCCCCGGTGTGAGTGTCAGGACTCGGGGCGCATTTACATTTTCCCCCAAGAGGAGGCTGAGGCCGGGGATCGCTGCGAAGGGCCAGCCTGGGCTGCATGGTTAGGCATAGGGAGTTCAGACCAGCCTGAACGCCATAGCGACTCCCTGTCAGATAAATAAATGTAAACAAACACACCCAAAGTGATAATGTGCTTCCAGGTTAGAGAAGCACTAGCACCTGCCCGCGCATTGCAGCGCTCTCGGCCCCACCTCATCTAGCAAACATGCAGCCAAGAAACCGCTGAAGAGGGTAACTCGGCAAACAAACTTAGGAGAGCTGCAGTCTTTTTTCCCTTCTCTATTCAAACAAAGGCGAAATAGGGAGAGAGTGAGGCGTACCCCTCTATTTCCCCCACGTAGCCAAATTGGTTGCCTGTTTCTGTTTCCTTAGAGAATGGAAAATGTGTGCTTTGCGCAAATACTGTAGCTGGGTCTCCTCATCTCAGTGTAAATCACGGCTTCCTCTGCGGCCCTGGCAGGAGCAGGCTACATGCAGGGTCCCGGCCGGCTGCCCCGGTAGGAGGGCAGCGGTGGGCACGTGGAGTGGGGGAGGCGGCGGGGGCCTCAGGTCCAGTCTCGTCCTTCACCAGGGCTGGCTGTGGCTTTTGGCACACTTTTCGCTGGAAGCAACATTCTAGTATTAGAAAGGGCTGCCGGTTACCTTTTCCTATAGGCCAGCAGGATTTTCTCACTAGACTGGGCTGCTGCATCATAATGATACTTTTTAAAAGTTTATTTTTTTAAGTTACTAATGTAATAGAAAATCATACAAATGTCAAATACGGATCTCCACGTAATATGTATATACTTTATAAGTAAAATTGGTGTCTCAGCATTGATAGCACTCTTTCGATATTATCTTTTTTTTTTTTTTTTTTTTTTTTTGTCTTTTTCATTTTTTCGGTACCAGGGATGGAACTCACGACTGCCTGCTTGGAAAGGCATGTGCTTATGCCACTGAGCTAAATCCCCAGCCCCTATATTATCATTGTTAAAAATGTGATGTGTCTACTGCTATCTAAATATCTATACATTTTAAATAATACGGTCGTAAGGCCTAATCAATATATACATATGCTTTGCATATTAAATACTGTTGTATTTTCTAGTAACAATGTAGCATAGACAGACGCGCGCACACACACGTTGTCATGTGAAAGCTGTACACTTTTCAGTTACTAAACAGATTATGGAAATTAAAGGTTTCTTTTTGGCTTTCTTGTTTATTTTGCTATCATGATTGCTGCAAAAAGATGAGCCTCACATATTCATCTGTGCCCTTTTGAGTATTTCTACATGATAAATTCATATTATTGGAACTGCTGGATTAAAGTATATGCACGAATAAGATTTTAATGGGTCTGTAAAATGCCCTGCTGGAAAGAGCTCTCCGGAATCCACTGATTCTCTACATTTTAACATTTAATTTAATGCTGTGTTAAAGTTTTTAGTTTAGTTCATGACCAATCTGATCCCCAAAAACAGATTTGTCTTTTTTTATGTTTGTGCTTTTGTGTTTTGTTTGTTGATGAGGCTGTATTTGCATATTTATTATCAATTCAAATACTTCTCTGTGTAGTGTAAGCATCTGTGTACGTTGTGCCTGTCTTTTCTGGTCTGCTTTCCTCGGAGCGACTCAGTGGAACACATTTTGGATTATGGATCTGAATCTTGGAGGATACAGTTGTTCTAAATTTTCCTTAGTTTATTGTTTGCGTTTAAGAAGTTATTTTGAGCATTACCTAAACATTATTTATGTTGCCAATGGACAGTTTGAAAAGATATGTAATTAGAGAGTTATTATTAACAATTTTTTTCAAAAATGAATAAAAAATGTTGATTACATTTTATTCCTAAACTAATTTGTTCTAAATTATTAGTGCCTGAGGATATAAACATATAATCACTCGCTCCTTATGATAGGATATTAAACCTCACTAATTGTTATCAGTGATATTGGACTGGAACCAGAAATGGCAGGATTATATCCAATGAAAAGATAAAAAGATACTACACCAACCGAACCCTTGTCCTTGTTAGCATTCAGCTAATATTTTCTAACATTTTGGCAGCTTCTGGACTCTGATCCTGATTTTTCCTTTTGTTCTGCCACCCTTCCTCCCCCCTCCCCTAACCTCCCCTCCTCTCCTCTCTTCTTCTCTCCTTTCTACTCCTCTCCTCTCCGTGTCTCTTCCTCCTTCCCTCTTTTCTGTCATGGTAGGAACCAAACCCAGGTCCTTGCGCAGTCAGTCCAAAAAGTGCTGAATCGCACAACTGAATTCTGAGCGCCGGCTTCCATACTGACTTCTAGGATCTCATATTTTTAAATACAAATCTTTTTAAATTAGTTTTCACCTTTGTATGTGATAATATCATCCCCAACTTTGTGACTTGCTTTTTTCCTTTTCTTTCGGGCTATTTTGGTGAATATATGTACTATTTGAATGGTACCAATTTTATCCTAAAAACCTGCTAATTTCTTGTTTTATTAGGGAACTCTTTAGTTCCAATACAAGAAGCCGGTTCCCTAAATTTCCTTCCAGAAGTTCCACAAATTTTGTATTTACATTTAAGTTCTTAGTGCATCTGCAGTGAATTTAGCTCGTGGCAGAAGTTGCAAACTGGCCCTTTTCTCCATCAGCTCTGTCCCCCACGCTGTCAGTTCGCCTCTGAGGTGTCTTAGGTCTCTGTGGATATCTGGGTCTCCATGGAGCTTCTGTATCCATTTTTTGGAGTTTCCTTTGTTTATTCCTGCCCTAATAATACCATCTGGCCTGAATAGAAAAATTTTACCTTGTTATTAAACATATATTACTTTTCTTGTTTGTTTGTTCTGTAACAGGATTGGGTCAAGATGATTTTACAACTCTCACTGAACTATGTCTTAAGTTGTGTTTATAAGGAATATGACATAGTAGGGTGCTTCCCTAGTTTACATGAAGCTCTGGGTTTAATCTCCAGTCCTTGCCTCTCCCCAAGGCTAAGAAATGTGAGTTTAACACATTAACACCGGCTCAGGAGTGTAAGTACCAAACACATGCACACACATACCCCTTAGTCCAGTGATCCTTCAATCGCAGTCACATTTTCAGTGATTGTTTAGAAGTAATCATAAAATTTATGGATTACCCCTGAAATACCCCTGTTTCCTTTCCCTAGTTCCTTTATTTGATTTGTCCTCCTTTTATTAGATTTATTAGATTCCTAAGCAGTTGAAGCAAAGTCATGCTTTCTTATTTTTGATCTGAGGACTAACATTCCATTTTGTCCTCAGGGACAGACAAAAACAACTCTGTATTCTAAAAGCTCTTTTTCCTCAAACTTCATAAATGTTCCTTAGTTGGCTCAATGACATCAGCACGAACAGATCTGTTTAGTGAGGTTTATAACCAATGCGTGCACTGGTTGTTTGCTTGCTTACACGGATCGTTCAGCCCAGCCATTGGCAGCTCTCTGGTTTCTTCCGCGTTCTGTTCCATCTGACAGGAAACCAGCCTTCACGGAGGAACTGCCTTTTTTCTGGCAGGACAAGGTGTTCTAGGGTTCTCTTGTATTTCCCCAGATGCAGACCCAGGAAGCCCTGATCCTTTCTGTCAGATACATCTGGACACCGGGTTTTCTCATTCTTCCTGGGATGTCATCACCCTTAGATCTTCACAATGGACAGAACCAGAAAATGTGTGCATGCAAGATTAGGTGTCTATGTGATGCAGTGTCTATGTATACATATTCATAATACATAGAGCTAAACATGACTTCGTTCTGCTAGTTCTAGTCTGGCACCACAGGTTGGTCTTAGCCTCCCTGCCCCTTGTTAACCTGTAACCTCCCCCCTCCTGGTGAAGCACTCTTCATATCCATGTACCTGCTGGTTCAACCTCAGGACGAGACCTAAGGCAGTTTCAAAATCACTAGCTTCTAACTCATGAAAAGCAGCTTATAAGTAGATTTGGTGATTTTGTGCAGTTCATCTTTTCTTTAGCTTTCCTTGTACTCAAACCCCGCTTTCAATCTCTCTCTCCCCTCTCCTCTCCTGCTTGAAATACACCAAACTTTTGGAGTCCAGTGAGATTCACTCCTGCAGGCTTCGTTCCATCTTGGGATCTCCCATGATTCTGATTTGTATTTAAAGTTTACATCCATATGAGTCCATGTTTTATAGTGTACAGTTCTATGGGCCTTGGGAGTGTGGAGAGTCCTGTGTCCACCACCTGGACCCATTCAGGGAAACTCCCCCATACATCGCTGTGTAGGAGCTGCTCCGTCCCTGTCAGTCAGTGGTGACCACTGATCTAATTTTTGTGGTGATAGCTGTGTTTTCCCCAGAGTGCCATCTGAATAGAATCATGCAATGTATAGCTTTGGCTCTGAAATGCTTAACTGACTTTAGTATAGTTAAGGTTCATTTTTACAGTTATGCAAATCAATAGGTCATTTACTTACATCACTAAATAGTATTCCACTATATAACATGGCTTTAGTTCAATTTGTTTGTTCCTCTGTTGAGAAATATATGAGTTGTTTCAACTTTTTATTATTTTTATTTCGTTTATCAATACTTCACATACATGTTTTTATGTGGACATAACATTTTAATTTTCTTGGATAAATCCTTAGGAATGCTAATGCTGGCTTCTATGCTAAGTCTGTGTTTAGCTTTATCACTCTGTCTTCCAAAGTGCAGTGCTATTTACATAATCACCACCAATGAGAAAAAGGCACCGGTGCTCTGTGTCCTTTCCAGCAATTCTAAGGACAATGTTTTTATTATTTTTATTTATAGGAAAAATCAGACCAATTCCCTAGTGAGTCCTCTAGCCCTGTCTTTTCTAGCTCTCAATGCAAGCTGCAGGTTTGGCCCCAAGACATCACTGACTCCCTGGTAACCAGCTCAGTATGCCCGGCCCTGTAACAGGCAGAGACCGCATTCTCCAGCGAGCACAAGGCCTTGTCTTCAGGCTGAGCTGCGTGGACATAGCACATACCTTCCTGTCCCCCCGTGGAGAAGACATCAGTGCAGGACTCCCTTGGCACACACATATCCCCACCCCTGCCCTTCAGGACAGGGTTTACTGGACTGGCCCAGCTCACAGTCACCACCCACTGAGCCCTTTGTTCCACCACATTGGTGACAGTAGCAACCCCTACTTGAAGGAAGGAGTCTCTTAGGAAACATCTTCTTTGCCAACAGTCTATTCCCAGCCAGGGCCAGCAGTGCTATGAGCTTCTGTCGCCGTCTGTGAGCTGCTCTGAACCATCTAGGCAGCTGCTCAGAGGTCCAAGGCCCCGTGTGAACTGGTGAGTCTCAAGGGCACTGTCAGCAGTGGGCGGGTAACTTTAAGGCAGGGTGTCCTGGCCAGAGATAACATTTTGAGGCTTCGTTTTCAAACAAGGGATTTACCTTCTTGTTGGTGTCTGTAATACCAGGGCCCACAGCCACCATTTCCCTTTGAGTTCTTTTGCATTCAACTGGAGCCCACTCTGCCATGACCAGAATTTTGTTTTTCAACACTAAGGATTGAACCCAGGGGCTCCACATTGAGTTTCATCCCCAAATTTTTTTTTGGGGGGGGTTGTTAAATTTTCCAGATTGAGTATGACTTTGTAGCCATTCTGCCTTGGCCCTCCATAGTGCTCCCAGAATGGACATACCTGGCCATGTTCCACACAAAACACAGACTGTCTTTAAATTTAGCATTCAAAAGATATTAACTTTGCCTCTTAATATTTAACATCGCAGGTAAAGTTATATGTGATTTTCCTTTAGTTAAACTAGTTTTTGTTTTTATTGTTCGCTAACTAAGAATGACAAAATTTTCTTATTAGGACAGACAATTTAAAATTTCACCAAGGTATTTATATTTCCCTCATCCCACTTCCCACATTATCTTTTTGATACAAAAGCTCAAATGGTTCTTGAAAATTTTCATTCTTGCATTTAAGTTTGAAATTTTTCTTTTTTTCTACCCCCATTAACTTTCTTAGGGAACATATTTCATATAGGATTTAGACAATTTATCTACTTTAATGTATTTTCTATTTTTGTGACTGTTTGCAAGTCTTTGAGTTTTGCTTTATGTTTATTAAGAGAGTCCTTAAATTCCATTTTAAAAACGTTTTACTGAATTTATTGAGTTTCAATTCTTCCCGTGTTCCTTTTCTTTCTGCCAGAAATGTGACTTACTGACTACGTTGTGTGTCAGCCTTTATTAATGCATGAAGGCAGCATACTAGACACTGGTTAGAAAGCATCAATCTTACTTTGGTTATTTATTGGAGGTCACTGACTCTGAATGCCCATTAGACCACCCTTGTCTTTTTTAATCACTCATTACCTCTATATTGTTTGGCAGCTTTGGTTTATCCATACTTATTCACAAGGGAAGTCGGTTTTATCAAAAACAGTGGCTAATATGGATCTCCTTGCTACATTTGAACGTGCCCTCCTGGGCAATGTGAGTGGACAAATCTAAGTCAGTAAACAGATTTTCTTTCAGAATACAGATTGTTGTATCAGAGCTCCCAGAGCAAGGTGGTTGGCCTGAACCTACTACAAGCTCAAACCTTAAACTCACTTATTATTTATCTGTAGCAGGTGAAAGACTGCAAAAGGCAGATGTTTGCTTTGTTATTGTTGTTTTTGTTTTGTTTTTTGTCTTTTTCCTTTTTATCGGTACCGGGGATCAAACTCAGGACTGCCTGCTTGCAAGGCAGGCGCTTATGCCGCTGAGCTAAATCCCCAGCCCCAAAAGACAGATGTTTTTAGTTAACTGCTTTAGTGCATGGTGGTAAAAATAATAATAATAGTTACTCTCTCTTCATAAATCATTTCCAATCAATTCTCAGTATACAAATATCTCCAACTGATTCTTTAGTAGTAGAAACAAAATGCAGTTTTACCTCGTGTATATATTCTGGTAAGAATCCTCCATCCTCATACAATGTCTGCTGCTGTGTGTGTCTCTGTATCTACATGGGGCAGCATGTAGACTCAGATTGCAGTGTACTGTAAACCAGCAAAATTCATCTTATCTTGATCACATCTGCAAAGACTATTTCTAAATCAGGTCATTTCTACAAATATGAGTGTCAGTTTTAGAGACCCACTATTGAATCCAGCACAAATGATAAGTGATTGATTTCAAGGTTGTACTACAAGGAACTCCAGCTGAGCCAGCCTTTCCTGCACTAATGGCAGCTTAATCAGATAAAATCTAAGGAAAGCTTGATAACAAGGACCACACCATTCACAAGTTAATTCTAATTGACCCCGCTGCCGATGGTCTCGGGCTACCCTGTGCTAACTTTCTCTTTCTCTGCTTTTCTGGGATGGGAGGGCAAGGTTCATGGGAGTCTGCTTTGGCCTTGTTTAAATGTTTGATATGGGTACCAGAAACTTCTTTGTGAATCTGATGCTCATTTTCCTTAAGATGGTGTGAACGTCATGAGGTTTTTACTCTATCCTGTCCACGCTCCTGTATTGAGAGATACTTTTCTTTCTTCTACTTTCTCTATTTATTTGGTCGCATCAATGAAAACCTTTATGCAACAGGCAAAGGAATTACTCTGTTTCATTTGACATTTTCACAGACACTGAGGACGGTCTCCCATTCTTTTGCAATTAGTTTCTAATCTTGCACCTTGCACAGAGCAAGACTTTGGTGAGTGTTTTAAGGGAATTTGTTCATGTTTAGTAGCTATTATTACATGATGCGTGGTCCAGTGCTTGCATACAGAAGAGTTCTGGGGGTGTGAAACCTCCTGAAATTGCACCCCTGAGACTGCGGCCTGATGACTGCAGCCACAGAGCAGGAAAGGAGGAAGCGACAGACCCATGCTAACACTGACAGACACGGTGCAGTGACCTTGCTAGAGGTCGCCCGGTCATCAGAACAGTACTATGGGACCAGAACTTCTCCCATTTTTAAAAGAAGTGAAATTGAAAGGCAACATGGTTATTAAGTGAGAAAATGAAGGAATTAATTTCAGTTTCTCAGGGCAGAGAACTTTCACTGTTCCTTACATACTCAGTATAAATTGCTCATTTTGTTCTAAGGTATTCATCGTGTACATAACAATACCTAAATACTTATATAATAGTTGCAGACGTAATAACCTACATAAGCACCCACAGCCAAACATGACTTTATAACTCAGAAATTCTTTTGAGTCAGATGCTCCATGAGACCCTCAAGAGCACCAGGAGGGAAGCCTGGAGTGGCAGCAGGGCACTGACCAGGGACTTCAGATGAGGCCTCTGAAACTTTCCATCCTTTACTTTTCCCATGCCACATCTTTTCCATTAATTTATTTCCAATTCCTTTCCAGATTTTTTTTAAACAAACACTTCATGAGTGCTTAGTAGGTTCCAGGTATTGTTCATGCAAGCTCTGGAAGCTTTAGGGAAAAGCATGAGCTGGCAGGATCCACTGTGCTTTCAGGAAAGCCAAGGCAGAAGGGTGGACAGCCCAAGGGCCAGGGTCAGTTCCTGGGATCAGCTGTCCCACTTCTGCGTGGCTGAGGAAGGTCGGTGGTTCAGAGACAAAAATAAGGTAGAAAGACAGAGCTCAAAATAAGAGAAAAAAAAAAAAAAAACAAGCAAAAAAAAAAAAAACATACACTTACCCTGTTCACACGAGCACGGAGCTGGTGACTCTCAATCAAGTGAGGAAGCTTGGTGGCAATTTCCATCCAGGGCTGGTAATAATCAGGAAGTTCTTTCTGCATTTAGAATGGAAGAATCTCAGTAATGTTGGCCTCTCCAGGAAGCACCTTCGAAAAGTAGCAGCCTTCAGATTTCAGTCTTCAGGAGGCCTGAAGACTCTTCCCTTGGATGAACACAGAACCAAGTGCTAGGCCTCGTGCAGAGCAATGCAAGGGACAGAGGACTCAAGCGCACGGTGGGCAGCCTGACCCCAAAGCAGTGCAATGTGTCAGCTTTGTGTATAGGCTGAAGATTTTTCTAAAAAGTAGGACTAATTCTGTCAAAGAAGGACTAATGTGGCTTCTCTAGTGGGACTTTGAAGGGCGGTAGTGCAGGCAGAGCGGGCAGCAGAGGCACAGATGTGGACACCTCGGACTGCGAGTTACTCAAGAGAAACGACTGGCGGACGATGAGTCAAAGGATTCAGATCATTTGCTCTTTGGGCAGATTTTATTTTTTTCTTTTGTGTAATATGTTGTTACAATTTGATCGGGATGATAATCTGTGTGTAAGATTTTACTGCCTAAGTCACCTAAGGCAGCCTATGAAATCCTCTTTAAAGACTCTGCTTAAACGATCACAGTGAATTTGTATTTAGAAGATGAGAGGGAATTGGTGTGATGACTGCAAGTGAGCCTGGAGCCGTAAGAAAATCTTTCCTTCAAATTGCCCCATGTGTGGATTCCCCTGGGTCCATGCTTCACACAACTGTAACTCAGAGGACAAAATCTGTTTATGAATCAGATTTCATTGGAAGCCAGCCGCTCTCACTTGTTTACATACTGTCTATGATGTTTATGGATCAGAGCAGTCAGTGGAGTTTCGTAGCCCCACAGCCAGCCTCTGACAGACACAGCTTGGAGTTAGTAATCCTGTCCCCAAAACCTTCACAATCCTGCTCCAGCCCAGTGACCTCGGCCTCCATTTTCCAGGTACAGCCTTGACACTGAATGTAGTGCTGAATGGGTGACAACACAAACTGGGATAGAAATGCTGGCAGAGGTCAAAAAGCGAGTGCAAAGATAGGGAACTTAGTTTTAAATTTATTAAAGGTAAAGTACCCCTAGAGCCAGGCAGGGTGGTGCATCCTGAGATCCCAGCTACACAGGAGTCCAAACAGAAAGATCACAGGTTTGAGCCAAGCCTACAATTCTCAGTGAGACCTTATCTCAGAGAGAAAAATTTTAAAAGGAATGGGGAGAGCGCACTTAGAGTGTAGCTGAGAGGTTCAGGGCTCTTGCACATGTAGAAGGCCCTGGGTTTCATCCCTATTACTGCCAAACAAAATTAAAATAAACAAAATCTGCCTAACATAACGTTACAACTGTACTGAGAAGTTTGAGGTTCAGTACAAAATTTACATGAGACTGTAACCACAGATAAACTGAAAACAAAGTGTTTAGGTGTTTTCTAAGATTTTGCAAATCGAAACAGGAAGAAAGCCCGGGTTGGCACACTGGGGAATATTCGCAGGGCAGTTACAGCAATTGAATCCGTGAATATAGACAAAAAGAAAGTTCTACTGCTATTTTCAAGAGGGAAACATGCAATACGGGACAGAGGGGGGAATATTTAACATAGGACATGATGGAAGAGGAAGAGGCAATAAAGACTCGCGTGGGACCTTGGGCTAAAAGCAGTGAGAGGAGACTGAACACTGAAGCTTTGCATAGCTCGTCTCAGCACTTGGAGTCAGGTCTGGGCTGGGTGACTGAGGATGGGGTGGAAATGAAGTCAGCAACCGAGGGGGAAGAAGCAGATGCCACGGAAGGCATCTTGAGGACCCGTGGAAGTGTAAGACTATAAGGCTGGAGAGGCAGAGATGCATCAGCACCCACGGCTCCTTTTTCTAGGCATAGATCCCCTAGGGTGCAAGAGAAAGCTGGCTTCAAGCTCCTAATTAATTTGTAACTGGGGTAGGTTGCATAGCCTACCAAACCCTGAACATTGTAGACTTTAATCTTTCTCCATTCTGTCTTTGACCCTGAAGCAATTCAAGACAGATGGTGCACCTTTTACTGACTTGGACAGCAAGCTAAACACCCCAGTGGCACACGCCGTGCCTTCACTGTGGACTTGGGTGTCAGTAGGGAGGACGCAACACCGAGCTCATGCATCCGCTTTGCATCTCAGGTTCTGGGAGGCACAGGCTACCCCGCTTCCCAGGTCTTCTCTAGAGAAAGAAAAAGTTAATAAGCAGGTCTGTGTCACTGTCTTCAGCAGGACTCAGCTATAAGTACAGAAATGAAGGAAGCTGCTAACTAAGCTAATGAAACTGGAAATTTATACAGCAGTGGCAGGACCAAGATGCCAGTGAGAACAGAGGTAGCAGCTTGGGGGGTAGCTCAGTGGTACAGTGCTTACCTAACTTGGTTAACCTTCCCACACACACACAGACACACATGCACACAGCTGGACACACACAGACACACAGGCACACAGGCACAGACGCACGTGTGTGCATGCTCGCTCAAAGACAGATCTACGGAGAACTAATTGTGAGCTGACAACGTTTTCCATCTCACTTCTACGATGCATGTTTTCAAACAAAAATTTGAATTCAGTGGCAAAAATAAAACCAAAGATGCAGAATCATGGTATTCAGAAATGGCCCTTGAAGTGAGCCTCAAGAACAGAAGCTATAGTTAAATTATCACCTCTGTTCTTTCTCTCATGCCTAGGTAAGAAATCACATGAAAGCCCCCTGGAATTTTGCTGCCTGGCTTGCACGACAAGTCTTGAATACCTCATTTTATTAGTTGAGAATCTGGACTGTACTTTTTCTGTAATATCTACTTTTTCTCCTTCTTTAGATTTCTTAGAGGAATGCTTTTCTTCTTCCTTTATTCATCTACTTGCTTTTTAAAGTCTAATGTTTAGACTTCTGTGTTACCCAACTTTTAAAAAATGAGATGTTAGTGAAATGGGAAGAAATTGTTCAAAATGAGAAAGGAACTAGGATGGGTGAAAGAGGAAAGGAAGGAAAGGAAAGAGAAAAATGTAAGTCAGTTCTACTATTGGTGTCCCTTAGTTCATGAGAAAAGAAAATTTGTGCAAATATTGAGGTTTATGCTCATATCTTGTACCACAAGTAACTACTTTAAAGCTAATAACATGTAGTATATTCTCCTATTGGTTTGTTAAGAAATTTTGTTTTACTTTTTTTTCCACAAAATAAAATTTTCAAATGAGCCTTTGGAAGTCTGGTGTGCAGCCTAGCAGCACCTTGGGTTTGTCAGACAATCAAATTCCTGGGTTCTGTCCGGGTATCCTGAACCAGGCACCAAAGCAGGACCAACTTTTGTTTATCATCCCTCCAGCTGACTGACGCACCCTAAAACTGGACTCTGGTGAAGAAGAGCAGCTCTGCACATAATCCAGAAGGGAAGAAAATATAATTGACAACCTCCCCCCCTTTTTTTGCATCCAGAATCAAGCCCAAAATTTCAAACTGGCCAGGAAGAGACTGTGCTGCTGAGCTGTATCCATGCATCTTGCTACAATCCATTTTGCATGTTTTCTGCTTTTTAGCTTTTCCTCTAGACATGGAAGAGGATCGTGAATTATGTTAAGGACTTTCTGTGGCTGGATTTTGTAAGTCACAGTGTGAGAGACAGGACAAGGGGAGTCTTACCAGGTAATGCCCCTTCTGTGTCCTTACATACGTATTTACGACCTCTGTTTTAAAGCAGAGAGTTCCAATAGGCTACTGATATTCCAAATTGCTTGTAAGTTTTCCTCTGTGGTTAACAACTTGAACAGTCAGCCTTATACAGATCTTTTTGATATTTTTCTGATTATTTCCTTAGGACAAATTCCTAAAAGTGGGTCTTCTGGCTAATGTTGTATACATTTAAAAAGTTGAAAACCACTTTAATTTCTTACAGAAAAATTATAGCAGGTGAGTGATAGAATTTTCGGCATGGCTAAAAAGATAAGAAGTATAAAATAAAGGTGGTCTTTATTTTAAGAATGTGGAGAGAGACTCCATGACCTCCGGGGTCTGGCATTCTCTCTGCCCCACACGTGGTGTGGGGACATACATACAGCTTAGGTTTGGGGTGGTGCCTAAGGGGCATTAGTGATGCACAGGTAGCCCACTGGAACTCATTTCTCACCACAGGTAAATTGCCTAGGGGCAGGAAGATGACCTCAAGATAGAGCCCCCTTGAATCTGCCTCCCAGGCTCCCACCGGCTACAGTGTCCCATCTGGGGCAAATTCCTTTCAGTGAGTATCACACTTACAAAGTACAATTTAAAAGTATGGCTGTTAGAAATTTTTAAATTCATTACAGTAATCCCCTTCCAAATGCTCCCCATCACTTTGGACACACATATTCCATCATTCTGTCACTTCTTCAGCAGTTCTAAAAGTCCTTTCCTGTCTTTAGTGGGAGTGATGAAAAATACAGGGCCTGCTTCTGCCTGCTGCCAACTACTGCCCAATAAAAAGGCGGGCGTGTAAAAATACGGGGCGTCCTTATTAACCGTGTTCACTGAACACGGCAGCATGCAACTCCTGGCTCTTCAGTGAAAATGACCGCGAAGAGCCAACACTTTGAACTGATTCAGAACACTGAAGCAGCCACAGGAACGCAGACAAGCAGTTTGGATATCAGCAGGACAATAAATCTGTGCTGCTGGCAACACTGGCATTACTAATATTTGTGTTTTATTTTTTAAAGATATGCCTTATAGTAATTGCATTAAAATTTTGCAGTTCTTTTCATAATTACTAAACTCATTAATATACTTGTCTCAGACAATGCTTTTAAAACTGTAATCAATACATGTGGCAGAATATTCAAAAGCATTTCATGTATAAAGCTGAAAATAAAAGTATCTTAATCCTCATCCTCCACACAGATGGCTAACAATTTGCTACCCATTCCATTTTTAAATTTTACATTTCTGTGATTGCTAATGAGTCGGGAAATATTTTCATCTGCTTTGGTTATATGTGTATGTGTGTATTTGGAATAGCACTTCCTAATGGAGTATCGGATTCGTACTTGGAAACTTTATCTGATTCCAACCTGATTTCTTTTAACGCTTTTTTCTAGTTTTATCCTAGATGCTCAAGTCTTTCCTTTACCTGCACCAGTATTTGAAGTGTTATGAGCTAGGAATTATTATTTTATCATTTCCAAGTTGAAAGACAAGAAGCTAAATCCCAGAGAGGTTGGATGAGTCTCCCAACATTTCACATCTGCTTCTCAGCAAGGTCAGCGCCCCTTTGACTCCAGGTTCAGGGTGCTCCCTCATACCTTTGTAGAATAAACACCGGGGAAAGGGTGGTCCCTCTTCCAAGAACAACAAGTGACCTCAGAGGACGTCATCCCTCAGGAGACCAAATGGAATAACAGGAATGATAAAATCTCTTTTGCTTTCCTTTTCTTTTTTTTTTTAATCAACTTCTCATTTTACACTTACTTGTTTTTGTAGACTTTTGCATTCAAATACAATTTTCAAGAAGCTTAAAAAGTGACTCATTCAAATACCAAAAGTGTGTCAAAATATACTTAGCTCATTTGTGCTGAAATCAGCAGGATAGAAAAGATGGTTCAAAGAGCACTTGAGACGCTAAGAAGTTTTGAGAAGATATTTGAAAATAAGTTTGCCAGATTAAATGCATGACTGCATAATGTCTGTAACACAGTATGATCACAGGTATGAGGATTATTTTTTCTCCCCAACAAAAATCCTTTGCACCTCAGAAATTGGCAAATTAATATGTTACATCAGGTACTGTCTCTTAATCAACAACAAGTAACAGGGGCATCTTTTATGGTCACTGATCCTACAGAAAGACTATTAGATCGTGCTTCAATGATATTCACAAGATCTTTTTGCTTTAATCTGGATGGCTGAACATATTTGCAATCTAAAGTATAACATTTTTTAAAGTGCATTTTTGCAGAAACAGTAGACATTTGCTAAATTAACACTTGCTTAACTGAACTTTTTTACTAAGAAAATAGCACACTGAGGGTTAAACATTAGAAATTTGAGCCAAAAAAAAACCCAAAAAAACAAAAAACAAAACAAAACAAAAAAACCCCAGACAATATTAACAGGAAAGGTGGAGAATGGCAGGATATTACAGCAAAATAAAGTGAGGCAAAAGCTAGATAAGCACCATGAAGGACCTTGTATAATATAATAAAGCATTTGAGCTCGGCCTCAAGAGCACTTGGAGAGAGCTAGAGAGCAGAGCATCACGGTCGGGATTCATTCTAAATAGTTACCCCACCTGGTGTGCAGTGTTTTTCAGATGGGCGGGAGTGGGACTAAAGAAACAGGGGAACAGGCAGCAGACAAGGGACACGACGGCCTCAAGGAGTGTGGAGATGGAGAAACCAGGTCAGCTAGGAAATATGCTTCCGAGATGAAGAGCTCATTCACCGAATGAGCCCTACATGGCAGAGGCAGAGTTAATCGGGACCCTGCACAAGGGGGCGTTCCCACGGGCTTCTTCCTATCATGCTACAGTACATGTTTAGGGAGTTCATAACAAGATACAGGAAAAGCTGTATTCTTAATTAAATATGAGAGATGGCAAATAAATTTCCTTGGTGCATTTGAAAATTTCATTGGATTTTCATTTGGGAAATTACAAAATATCGATTATTCATCTAAATGTAGGGAACTTTATTGACTAAAAAAAGCTTGGAGGAAATAGAAAATATAAATTAAAACTTACCACCCTCAGTGTCTTTCATACAAATATCTAGGATATATTATCTGATAGCTGATCTGCTCCAGATCACAGATAATGATGGGAAGGCTGCTAATACATCTCATAAAAAACATAACAAGATTAATCCTTGAATTAACAATGCTAATTAAAGCAACAGTACACTACTTCTGTGTCCCTGTGCTTTTTTGACCACTTTATTTATTTTTACTTATTCTAAATATTACATTTTAAAATTAGGGTTTATTTCTATTACTTCTTTGTCAAATACTAATATTTGTTTTGGTGGTGGGCCTGAACTCAGGGCCTTGGTCATGCTCGGCAAAACTTTTACCACCAAATGATAGCTCTGACCCATTCTTGACCACTATGCATTTTACATCGTCAGTCTTCCTCTTTATCCCTTTCATCCTGTAAAGTCAGGCCTGGGATCTCAGGACGGTACTTTTAGGGACCATTGCTGCAGCTGCCGCATCATCCTTCCCCTTGATCTTTTCCCGACACCTTCTGCAGTGGGCTGGTGCTAACTCTTCTAACAATAGGATACCTCTACTTAGAAAGTTCAGACTCAAGATGAGGACTCCCCTGAGTCGCCTTGTTCAAAATTTCAGGTTTAGCCACCCGCTCTCACTTCCTCATCCCCGTTTGCCTGTTTCCCCTTTGTCTACTCTCTTTTCTTGGTTCCTTAGCACTATACAAAATTCCATCCTTCATCCATTCCTCCTCTTCTCATCCTCAGATGCATTTTGTGAACTATACCGTATTAACTATTGCCTGATTTGCTTGTCTTTGTCTCTACTGTGGTACCATTACTGTTTGAAATTCCCTTTAGGCATCGATCAGCCATGCCCCCAGGAACGCAATCATTTTTCAAAGAAATATCTTAACTCTTCCTATCTACAATTTCTGTTTGGAAAATATAGCCTGCTATGGCAATTAACTGTCTGTTTTCTTCTAACCAACTGGCATCCACTACTTCTGTCATGTACTTTGAATTTTTACATGCACTGGTTTCTGAAGAGCTGATTGCTCACAGTAAAGAATAAAGTTCTAACATCTTCACAGCTATTTACATCAGTCCTTTTCTTCTGCCCCAAAACTTCACGCAAAGCATCTCCTTCACATTTGTAGGCAACTGCTTCCCAGTGTCTCCCAGTGCTTTGCTGAGCCACGCCCCTTGTTTGCTGACCTCTGAGTGTAGCCCTGCCTCTCCTCCATCACTTGGGGGGCCTCCTGCATGGGGCTCCGCACTGAGGCAAGCTAGCCTACAGATTCAGAATTAACTGGGTGCAGTTCTGCACTGGTATTTTAAAAATCTGCCCAAGGAACTTTGGTGGGCAGTTCAGGATCCATTCTCTAACACTTACTGTGCTGAAAAGAAACTCTAAATATCAGTTGCCTCTACTGAATGTGTTAAAACCAAATTTCAGAGGCTACCATTTGCAATCTCTCTGTTTGGTTCCATTCTATTCTCCTACTTTGGTTCCTGCTCTCCTGCCAAACTAATTTTTTTGTGTTCTTTATCTAAAGAGAAATTACCAGCATTCCCCCTCACAGGCACACATACTTGCACGTACGCATGCAAGACATGCGGTCTAGTAAAGGGTTTGGGGGGCTATTCACAGGTAGGAGCCTGTGAGATGTCAGTTTTTTGCACTGAAATGTCAGAATTTGGAAGTACTTGAGTTTGTGGAAACAGTGGGACAGGATATTTAGAATGAAGTCAGTCTCCTCCTTCTAAGCCAGAGTATTTTCTTCTTCATTAATGACCATATTTTCTTCAGAGAGACGGTCACGTATGTCTGTTGTGAGAAGCCCAAAGGTCAAAAGGAAGGAATGCTGAAAGGACAGCACGGAGCCCTGCTGAGGGGAAGGAACAGGGCGTGCCTCGCAGGAGCGCAGAGCCGCTGGCTCTGACAACCCACAACCACTGCTGTGCCCAGTTGCAACACTGCAGCATGCAGCATGCTGGGAACTGAGTGTCTCCTGATCTCTGAGGAAACCTGGGCCTTTTCTTGTAAAAAGTTCTTGCCTTCACCCTCCCTAGAAAAGGAGATATTTAAAATCCACACATGACTGAAAGAAAATCAAAACTGAAAGAGAAGATTAGCATCTGGAAAATATGACTCTGGCAGGGTGGAATCAGGTAATATTTTTTTATAGGAGCTAAGCAGTGGGAATTTTTTATAATGGAAATATATTTAGTTCAGAATGTCCCAAACACTTGATGTTGTAACTGTTTTTCTTCTATTTTAGATGGTACAGAAAAAGAAAACAACACAGAGGGGAACTGGACCTTGTGGCCCTGACCAGCTTAACCCTTTTGCAGTGTTATTTTACTTAGTTCAGGTCACACATTTCATTCCAACTAGGTATGTTGGCCTGTTTGGAATTAGGTGGTTTGCCTGTTTATTTTACCCAGCAGTCTTTAATTGTATGCTGTTTGTCTCAGAGCAAGCTTATGACAGGCTGGAATTCAACCTCAGTACAAAGTTTCACCACATCCCAGAGACCAAGAGTTCAGTTTGGAAGCTCTGTTCTCCTGGGACTTGGGTTATCTGGAAAAGTTGCTTCTGCGGTGGCACCCTTCTTTTCCTGTGAACTGGGGAGGATGATGTTATTATTCCTGAGTTAACACAACAAATTATATACACAGAGTGGAATATTCAACAGGTCCTGCGCTAGGGGCCTGGAGAACTGACCTCCAGTCTTTACCCTGGATCTGTGACAGTGCCTTTGCATCTGTGAATCATAGTAATGCTGTGGGCACAGCATGAGAGCCCTATCCAAATAGATTGTGAAAACACTGGTCAGTTGTGACTCAGGGCCAGGAGGTATTAAGTATAAATTAGGGTTGCTGACTCATTCTGGTTTGCCCAGGACTTTTCACAGGGAATCCTGCTCCTCAGGAATCCACTCAGGACCTAGCAAGTCAAAACAGCATTCCATTGAGGGACCATAGGGCAGCTCCTGATCCACCGACAGCAGGGAACCGCACTCTGTGAGTGGACCTCACAGCCAACTGCTCCCTAGAGCGATCAGCAAACAGTCCTTATCATCATTTAAATTCCCCCATAAATACCTCTAAAGTAAAAATAATTATAGGAGCAGATAGATAGCAAAAGTTCAGTGAATTCCAGATCAGTTATCAGTCACAAATAAGTGGATGCATTTGAATGGAGTTTTTCTAATAAATAATTAGAATGGCCGCAAAAGTTATCTCAGCTTTTTAACTGAGTGGCTTTGTCCCTCATGTGGAATGTAAGGAGAAAGATGCCAAGGGTCCTGAGAGTCAGTTCTGCGTCTGCTGTCAAGATGACTTGGGGAAGTCATTCTTCCTGGACTTCACCTAGCCCGAATCTGAAAAAGGGCGCGGGAGTGGGTCTGACAGGCTTCCAAGGGCTCTTGCAGTTTTAGGGTTCTATGTCTCAGAGCGCATTTAATAATAATAATTTCAAAATGCAACATTGATAAGAGGTGGCCAGTAAAGCAGAATTGCATGACTGGTTCCACTCTGAGTAGAATTAAGAATTTGGTTCTTTTTGTTTCAAAGTTTCATTCCCTTCTGAGAAATACCTGTTACCATCTAATCCTTTTCAGCAGCTCTAAACAGGCTGAAGGTCCTGCCAGCTCTGTGGGGTTTTTTTCCCCCCACCAGCAAGTTAAAATAAACTTTTACATTAGGATGCCAAAAGCAGTGATTTGGAGTGTTCAAAGAATAAACTCTGCCAGAAGAACTTATGAGTCAACACATATTGAATGCAAGGACTGGATCTGTACAGGAGGAAGCCTACCTTCTCACTGTGGAAGGAGAATGTACCTGGAAACATCCACATCACCATTCCAAGGACTATTTGTCTGTATATTTTATCTTTAAGCAGTCTTTTTCTGGGTAGCTATTTGGTAGTATCTTTTTCAGTTTTGAAGCATTGCATTTGAACAGTCCTCAGAGATAACTCTCACTTCTTCTTTTTTTGTGTGTGTGGCAATTAGACCCTGTTATTTATAGTATGTTCCTTAGATTAACAATGTGTATCTGAATTACTACATGCACTTTAAAAACAAACAAAAAATCCAAATCTCAAGACATCTATTTAGACATGGCCCACAGCCCTATCCTTACCAGCGGATTTGGGAGAAGAAAGCCATATTCTTCAGAAATGTGGTATCTTCCTAAACACAGTGGCAATGTTGTCTTCAAATTCTGTCTCTCAGGCTCCATAATTTTGTGATAAGTGCTTGCACAGAAGTTGCCACCACAGAAGCAAGTTTTCCAGATAACCCAAGTTCCAGGAGAACAGAGCTTCCAAACTGAACTCTTCAGTGGTCTCTGGGGTGTGGTGAAAGTTTGTACTGAGGTTGAATTCCAGCCTGTCATGAGCTTGCTTTGAGACAGAACTGAGCAAACAATTAAAGACTTATGGGTAAAACAAACAAGCAAACCACCCAGTTCCAAAAAAATCCCTCTTTTCCTTTCTTACACACGCAGAAGAGAACATTGTTTTTAAACCCAGAGACAAACATGTTCAACTTTGGGAAAGGGGAAGTGAATTAGACTTCTGTTTATGGCTGATCAAACCCATACCCTGACCTGATTCTGACCCATGCTGAACTTTGACAACTGTGTCAAAATTACTCCAAACCAAGTACACTATTGCAAGTAGAAGTTGCATTCAAATAGTAATTTCAGTGATAAGTAGAGTGGAGAGGGGAATCCTAGTGGTATATCAGAATCATATAACAATTTTTATTTGGTTTGGAACACAGGGTCTAAGGTTATGATTGTTTCAACTTATTTTAAGAAATGCTACTTAGTAAGGTTGAGAAATCTTTCATTGCATTAATAGATTTTTTCTTTTAAGTTTAACAATGGTTACCAATGGGCTTGAAAACAACCTAAACAGATAGTTTGATTCCACCTTCTATATTAAAAAAATTGTATTTAATTGACACAGTAGCTGTACTCAAACTACTTTCATCAAACAACTTTGAGAACCAAGCGTCAAGATGAGTATTCTTACTTTTGAAGTGGGTCCTACCAGGCTCGTTTGGCAGCTTAGTAAACAGAGGTAATGCATATGAAGCAGCCATTGCAGTGTTATACTGTTAACAGAATGAGAACTGGGATCCAGGGTGCTGATTTGCAAGCACCGTTCTGTTCTATCAGCTGGCTAATGTGGAGCCCAGAACAATGGTTTCTAGGTCAGTGATCTGCCCTGGGAAAGTCAGAGTACCCTGCCTTTTCTCAGTGGATCTTGAACTTAAATCTTAATGTTTTAAATGAGTTTATTTGGAAGCAACTTATTCGTCCATGTTTGTCCTTCCTTCTTTTTGTATCAAGGAAAACATAACAACAGGAAATACTAAGATATCTCATCCAGGTGTCCCCAGGGGTATTTCTCTTCTGAAGGCCATATGTCAAAAGCAGCCTCACCTTACACCATTCCTCATGGGGCTTCTAAGATATTCTCAGTTACCTGTTAACCCTCAGCTCAACGTCCAGCTAGTCTCTGAGTTCAGTTTCTCCTGCCCCTAAATTCAATTTTTAAAACTCTACAGGGAGCCATCCTTGTGATCCATGAAAAGTTGGAGAAGCTATATTTTCAAGGCAGCATGATCTCATCCATTCTTTTCATCCTTTTAGGAAAGCATTATAAAGCCATAAAAATTATAAAATATTAGACCAAGAAAGGTCATTCTAAATAACTGATATAGGTCAATACCCTGTCACTCACACAGAACCCAAGAGTTCTGAATCAACTTACGGACTATCATCCTGTTAAAGCATTATAAAGCCATAAAAATTATGAAATATTAGAACAGGAAAGGTCATTCTAAATAACTGATATAGGTCAATACCCTGTCACTCACACAGAACCCAGGAGTTCTGAATCAACTTACGGACTATCATCCTGTTAAAGCATTATAAAGCCATAAAAATCATGAAATATTAGAACAGGAAAGGTCATTCTAAATAACTGATATAGGTCAATACCCTGTCACTCACACAGAACCCAGGAGTTCTGAATCAACTTATGGACTATCATCCTGTTAAAGCATTATAAAGCCATAAAAATCATGAAATATTAGAACAGGAAAGGTCATTCTAAATAACTGATATAGGTCAATACCCTGTCACTCACACAGAACCCAAGAGTTCTGAATCAACTTACGGACTATCATCCTGAGAGCTGGCACAGAATTGGACCACATTCCCGACTTGCACTTTGTGATGCAGGCGTATCTCGCAGGTTAACTCTGGAGGAATGACCTGGGAACGGATGGGTCTTTCTCTGTCATCTGCCATCTGGATTCCCGTTTGACAAGCAGCTTGAAGTTATAAGCCTGCATTTTCACACCTGGAGGAAATAGTGGTGTAATTTCACACATTGTGTGAGCAGTGAGTGAAGCACTGTGGAGGCAGGACCTAACATAACAGTGAGTGCCTTTTTATTTTCTTCTCCTTTCCCACTCGTTCTTAAATCTCTTCTTAATATTGTGTTTTTAAAATTTTCTGTTCTATCTTTCCTGTTTCAGTCACCGACTCCATTTTTACTTTTCAGCTTTGGACATCTGGATATTTGAGTGTTTTCATAATTTTCTCTTCGTCTTTTTGACATTTTTTTATATGCTAAGGACTGAACCCAGCCCTATCCCCCACCACCTCATCCCACCAGCACCCTTTTTTCCCAGACAGGTTCTCATTAAATCGCCAAATTTCCCAGGCTAGGTTTGAACTTGCAGTCCTCCTGTCTGAGGCTCACAGAGTCCTGGGATGACAAGTGTGTGTCATCGCTTCAGGGTTTATACACATTTCCACTGGATCTTTGCCATCAATCCTATCCCCAGTTTCTCAAATCTGTATATTAGATCCTTGTCTTTCTTACTCCCAAGTAGACCCATGTTACTTGGAGGCCTGTGAATATTTCAGGTCCTGTCACAGAAGTGTTCAAGAGCTCCTCAGTGTCAGCCAAATAACATTCAAATTGTCTTGAATTGGCATGAAACTATGCCCATGATCTAACCCTTCACCACCTTTCTAACTGTGCAAAACACCAGTGATCAAGCTAGCAAAAAATTATTGACTGCTCCTGAAGTAAAGTGCTTGGATATCTAACTTTGTCTCTTTATTATTAGTATCTTCTGTAGCAAAAATGCTTTCTATCTGAGTGTGACTCATCTTTTAAAACACATTTCAAGCACTAATGCACACGTCCATGGACCTCTTTTCAAAACTGCTCCCTGATTAAAAGATAATACAACCAGAGATGCCCTTTCATACTGATTTTCAGTTTGAGTTGGCTTGATTAATACTGATGCAATCACCTTGTCTTTTCTATTAGACTTAACCCCCATCTTAGTAATTTTTTTCTCATTACTGAGACAAAATATCCAATACCCAAAGTTAAAGGTTTATTTTGGATCCCAGTTTGTAGAGATATCAATCCACATTTGGCTGTCTCCATGGTAAGGGAGCGTGGCAGATGGTGACTGTAGAAGACAAATAGCAGCAATAAGCAACAAATGACAAGAAATGGATCTCTTTCTGTCACTGAGCTGCCCACTCCCACGGTGGGTAGTATTCACACCCTTACCCCAGACATCACATCTTTACTCCCTTTAAAAATCCCCATCTATGACTGACTGCGTGAATATCGGAGAGCCCTACAGTGCTTTCCAATCTCCTGCCAGGTGTTATGGCACATAGAAAAAAGAAAGAGGACGAGACAAAATATCAGTGCAGCAGGGATCTGGGATGACCAGTTGTTTTTGAGAAGCAAAAGGCCACAAGGAAGCCAGAACCTTGGTACTACTGATCACTGGGAAAATGACAGCTGAATGCACTAACAAGTGGCAAGGCAGGCAAGGCTTTTGTAACAGAGGGAAAAAGCATTCTTGCAAAAAGAATGGAGCAGCCAGATTTGGTTTATAGTTAGTGAGTAATTTGCTATGTAGCCAACTCGAGAAAGGAATTTTCCTTTGGAGTCATGTAGGCATCAGTCAACATGTTATCTCATATTTTAGCCCCATGACTAAACAGCTCATCTATCTGAGCTCAACCACGGCTGTTGATGACAGACAATGCTAGTCTGCCATCAGCTGCTTGCTTTCATGAGGAAGCATACACAGCTTCGGCCATATTCACTAACTAAACTGAAAGCCAATTTAAGGAAGTCATTTCTACACAGCATGCACTGTTCCCAAGTAAGCACAGACACATGGGCCTGGGGGAGGCAGTATGGTAGTCCTCTACAGGAAAGGTTTTGGAGAGATATCTAGATACAAACTGTAACATTCTGCCCCACAAAGACTCATGCACATTTCTTTATGCAAAAGGCATTTTATCCATCACTAGGAGTTGTCGATTTCCTAACAGTTTGAGCATTGCTGAAAAGTCCAATTCCAAAGTTTCCTCCAAGATTTAATGCAAACTCTTAGCTGCAAGCCCTTGTACAAATGAAAAGAAAGTTAAACACTTTCAATAGTCAGGAGCACAAGGTAGACACTTCCATTCCAAAAGGTATAAAGATGGAAATAAAGAAATGGAAACAAAGCAAGACCAAAACCCAGCAAAGCAAACATGAACTCTTATAGTTTCCATATTCAGGATCTGAGGCAATCTGTGGCAAAGGCTTGGGTGACTCTACTCTAGTGGTACTGCTGGTGGTTGTAGTTTACTCACCTTTTTCTTGGGCAAGCTCTGCTCCTTCCTTGCAGTTTTCCTCAGAGAACCTACGCTCTTGGCTTCTCCAACCTTCTGAGGTCTCTACTGTACCACTGGCTTCATACACAGCTTTACACACTACCCTACCAGGGGCACACGGCCTGACCTCCCAGGCTTTCTGAAATCTGCATGGAAGCCTTCCTGACAACATGACTCCTCCATTCCACATGTCCCTAAACAAGAAACAGGTGGGTGATGTCAAGGCCTGCTGCCAGCTGGAGCAGTAGACAGGCTTTATTCACTTTTGGTATTGTGGTCACATGCCAGTGAACCAAATCCTGAGGAAAAGCTTCCCTAGGCTAATGCCATTCTGGAACATGATGATCTAGGACTCTCTTCTCAAGGCAAAATCTTTCATTTTTGCAATTCTGATGCTGCAAAGGATTCTTGTATCCTCACATCATCTTCTCTATTGTCTTCTGAAAGATTTCACTTTTTCTTGCTAATCTTTTCAGAGACCACATCTTCCTCTTCCTCTATTTCATTTTTGAAGACTGCAAATTAACTGGAGCTTCTTTTCTGGCCAAACTCATATGTTCTGAATCATTCTGCTGATTCTTTGCTCTTGCTTCTCAATGTAAATCTGTCTAAAAGTCCCCAACGTTAACCATTTCATGGCCTCAATATTAGACTCTCTGCTACAAAATTAATAAGTCCACCCTCCATAATCTCAGTCTCAGGCAAAGTCTCTGCACGTAAGTAAAATACAGACAAACTTTCTGCCAAGGCATAACACACATTGTAAAGAGTTCCAAGGGCAATGCAGACCCTCCTCCCAGAAGAAACCTCTCTAGCCTGGTAGTCTTCTGAACTGTGATTTTACCAGAATCTCCCAAAAGTACTGCCTCAGGTGTTCCAGGGCTGCTTTCTCAGATGGCGTTTCTGAACCTTTCCAAACTCTTCCCACAAGCCAGTCCCAATAGCTACTCAACTACATGGTCAGATCCAGTTGCAGCTGTAATGAGCAGCAGGAGCTAGAGATCATCCAAGCAGGCTTGTATGGGGGCGATGTGGCAGGAGGTTTATTACACCTGGATGTAGGCGGATGGAGTGAAAAAAAAATGTCTGGGGAGCAAAGAAAAGCAGAGCCTTTTATAAGGCCTGGAGGGAAGGGGTCATGTGAGAAAATCAGGCAACAAGCATCACATGAGAAGGTCTGTAACAGACATTTGTGACCAAAGATTTCAGATCATCCAGTTCAAATGTATAGATGCTATTGAAAGAAGAAACTACCTCCTGATGGAAAATCAGGCATCCGTGGGTTAACTGTACAGCTAAGCTCTCCAAGAAAATTGATGTCTGGATGCAGCTATAATATAATGTCAGTGGTGCATAACAGACTTGGAAACTTTGGCCAGAGTTCTCCCTTTCTTTCCCGTTCATCCCCCAACAACCATCTCACTTCTGCTTCTGTAACCATACCTAAAAACAGCTTACCAATACAAGGTTGACCCATAGATAAGAACAGTATAAAAGTAAAAGCAAGACCCTATTCAGGGCTCTCAGGTGGACACTAGTCCACCAAGGGATGCTGACAAATAAAGATGCCCTTTTCTCCTACTCTGTGCCTGGGTAGCTTTGTTCAAGGTTCCATTTACCTCCTGCTTCATTATCAGATGTTTGAATTCTGAGGAGGTCTCATATCCTGCTTTATCTCTTCTTTATGACACCCTGTCCCATTTGACTGGGGGTGGCCACTCATTTTACAGTTTCCTAGTGTCTGCCAATGACTGCGTATTTGCTGGATAGTATTGTTTACTGAAGACAGTGAGGGATGCAGGGAAGGTTGAGACCAACTCAAGCCTGACAGCAGCAATGACCTCATTTCTCCAGAACCAAATCTGTCTTAGTTACTTTTCTCTAGTTGCTGAGACAAAACACCCCAAAGAAAAAGGATGAAGGTTTATTTTGGCTCATGGTTTGTAGAGATTTCAGTCCATAGTTGTCTGGCTGTAACGTAGGATGGCGTGGCAAAGGAGCATTGCAGAATACAAGCAGCAGCAGCAGCAGTAAGCAACAAGGCACAAGAGACAAACCTCTTTCTGCCCCTCATGTTATATCAAGGCTATTCACTTCCAGAGCCGAAGCACTCACACCCAAAATCTTGCATCCCTGATCCCAGAAGCACATACCCTACATCCAATCACCTCTGAAAAGCCCCACCTATTCTGTATGAGGCTTTGGGGGACTCTCTAGATACAAACCACAACACATCCTAAAGATAAAATCATAGCTAACATCTTGGTATTTTCTTATAGCAGTGAGCCCAGTGTCTGTGACTCCATTGTTTGGGAATTTCATCATGGATCTCATATTTTTAGAACAAGGTGCTAGAGATCACATAGAACTTCATACTGGTTTCTGCTATACCGTTTTTTAGACTGCTCAACAAACTTACCCTGAAGAAAGGAGAAAGGAACTTGGGCCACAGCTAGGATGCTATCTGGCTGCTCATTTTTTTTTTAACCAAGGGGAAGTTAGTTGACTTAATTGTTTTCAGAAACTTCCTCTCTGAGCAGGATAATTGGAACTGTCAGAATGCTGGTTTCTATTCTCAGCTCTCCCATGAGATACAGAACCACACAGAGGAATTTTATTTCTTTTAGGGTAAGCATTTGGGTCTATTGGAAATGGAATAGACAAGACTTGGAAAATGAAGAAAACATGATTACTATTAAACTTTTTTGGGCATCAGTTATGTTCACTGATAATAATTTTAATTATGGTCAGTTTCATTTTCTAAATTGATAGAGTACAAAATCTAAATGGTTAAAGGGAAACAGCCCACAATACTGGCACACTGAAACTGTTCTTTTCCAGCTCATTAATTACTCCTTTGTTCTTAAATTCAATGGGAACTTTCTGATCCTTTCCTTGTTTCACTGTGTAGGCATCTGGCATTGCTATTTGCTTTATTTTTAATCTCTCTTTTCTTCTTGATATCTTGTGTGACATCTAATCATTCTGATTATAGCATCTACCATAGACTGTGTTACTCTACACCCACAAAAGCCTGATCAAGTATTATTATTATTATTATTATTATTATTATTATTATTCAGTTGAAGACATCACAGCTTAGAAAAGTAACATTAGAGCTAAATATACTTTGTTCAAGTGACAAAACAAGGACCAAGTACATACAGTCTGATTTTAAGCTGGCACTTCCCACAACTAGGAGCATGGCTTCCCTTCCTACATTTTTTTTTCTGGTTGTATTGTACAGAAGTACTGCATATCTCCACAGTTCGAGCCTGAATTCCCTGTCTTCTCACTCTTTTATGCCTGGGAGACTCATGCATTCAAAGACTTTGGCCGTCTTTTCTTGGATGATAACTGTCAGTTTCTTTTTCCAACTGGTGTCTTCTCTTCTCTAGACATGGAAAGCCTCTCCTAACCTGGATACCTTCACTTGGATTAGAGGTCTCAATGAAATATCTTAACTCGTTGAACATGTTCTATATGTCTTTCATTAAGGCAGTTGCATAAACTTAAAATTCACAGCCCTTAACTGAAGGCCTTGAGCAGAGAGTCCACTGCCTAGTAGTAGAGCTAAGCTGAATTTATTGCTTACTCTCTTCTAAGAAAACACACATTCCTTTTACAGTCCACATTAATAAATGATACCTCTCAGAACCAGCCACATAGTTTAGGGGGCTTAATAAGGTATGGAGATTTAAACTGACTTGTTCAGAACTATTAAGAATTTTAGCTCACTAACAGAAAAGCATGGAACAGGGGCTGGGGATTTAGCTCAGTGGCATAAGTGCCTGCCGTGCAAGCAGGCAGTCATGAGTTCGATCCCTGGTACCGAAAAAAAGAAAAAGACCAAAAAAAGAAAAAAAAAAAAGCATGGAACAAAGCACTGACCCTTCTGCACTGCAAACCTTGGCCAGGCACTCTTCACTGACCACTTTGAAATTTTCTGTCCGTCTGATCCAGAAGTCTTAGCACAACAGGCTTGTTACTCACTGAGCTCCTTGCTATTTACTACTGGGATCTTATAATCACCACCCACTTACCTTATAGCTGATTTCTCAACTTCAAACTGTAACTTTTAGTATTTCCAATTACTTCCTACTTGAATTTCTTGTTCAGCTCCGTAATTGTTATCCTGTATTTACTATTATACCCCCATGCTATCTATCACTTGCAAATTCTTTCTAACTATTCCCAGAGTTGCTTAAATATTTATTTAAAATTTGCTATCCATGTAAGTATTATTAAAATATAATAAAGTCATTTGTTGGTTTGGAATCTTTCCTTTTGAAGTTAGTCATGGTTTGCCTGCACTTATCTATCCATCCCTGTGTGCGAGCACTCCAATTACCCATTTTATTCTTTCACACTTCCGTCATCATGAACTGTGTGTACTTCTCCAAATCCATAGCACTTCTGCTGCTGTGCTTGGACATTCTTTATCTTTTTGGAATTTTCTCACCATGCTCTGCTATTTGCATCTCTATTTTGCACTGTTTGAAACTCACTGAGTCCTAATCGAGGCTGTGTCACTCTTGCAGCACTGACTTCTGCTGCCTCATTTTCCCTTGGCCGTGCTCAAGTTCGGGTCAGAGGTGGCTGTTGTATATTCTGTACCTGCTGTTTATATCCACACAGTCCTTACTCCGTTGTGCTACTGTAATTCATTAGTGTAGCTGCCTCCAGGGGACCGCTTAGCATTGGGTAGCTCTGTCCCTATTATTTACTCAGACACTAGCACTGTACTTTATGCTTGCCTGTTAAATGATTATTGAACAAATGAGTGGTCAATGTAGAGACGTGTACAGGTCATATTCCTTTAACATTCAGTATTTTAAACAGATTGGTAGGTACTATGATGTAAAAATCAAAATCTCACCAACCTATCTACAGGAAACCGAGCAATTAGCAAAACTAAAAAAGAGAATTTTAAAAGTCTATGGAAATAGAGTTGAGAGAGAATTCCTTACAAGTTAATACTTCATTAGAAGGTGCACAATCACTTGAAACAGTGATTTTCAGTAGAAATGGGCAGATGGGAGGGAGCTGTATCAGCATGAAGGAGCCTTGACCCCCGGATGCTCTGATGACCCCTGGAGAGATAATGAGTGCAGGATGTGTGTTCTTCGAAAGCCAAATGCTTCAAAAGACAGGTGTTTATGATCCTCCCCTTTCCTTTTTACCCTGCTACAACACTTTTGAAAGTCAGCACAAATCCATAAAAGCAGTTCTCCTACTGACTTAACTGATAGGGTTATAGAAAATAAACAAGGGCTGGAGATATAGGTCAGTGTCACAGTCCTCTGCCTGACAAGCACGAGGTTGTGAGTTCAAGCCCAACAACTATGCTGAATGAGAATAATCTTTAAAACATGTTAACATAGTCATGGCATCCAAACCATTGCATGTATGATCTAGAAAAAAATGTACTTTTGAAAGGTACTTTTGAAAACACATTGACTTGCTTACTGTTTAAATTTCCATTATGATTAACCTAGTATATAAATTAATTTTTTTAGTGAGTAAAATTTGCTCAACATATCTGGAAAGTAGGGAAGCAATAAAAGTACAATTACTAGCTCATATTTTCTTAAAGAAATAGATGTCAGTATTTACACTATCTTGAAGAAGAATCTTGTCTTCCTTTAAGCAGTGTTTGTACAAAATCGTTGCTGTGAGGAGGAACCCTGTATCATATGACACAACGGGCAGATTAGGAATGCACACCAGTGCTGGGGCAGTGGAACCACTCACGGCCACTCCAGGTAAAGATACCATAGTTCTTACTAGGAAACTGGACCCACGGGACAGAGGAGCTGATAGTGCCAGGTTATCTTTCTGTGGTGATTAGGTAGAAGAAAGTAATTTCACTGGTATTTTCCTCTTCTGAATTTGGGTTTCATCTTTCAACAAATGCAATGAGCAAGGAGCAGAATTATTACAATTTCTTCTTTTAAACTATTAACTTTCTTCTCTCTAGATTTAAGATTTCTACATTTTTGCAATCACTGCAATTAAATTTCCTTTATTGGTTCCATCATAATTAGAACCTCAAAATCAACATCAGAAAAATTTTCTAGCAAGAGGCATTTATAGATAATTTTGGAGAAATAGCTTACAAACTGAACAAATCAGGATACACATTCTTATTTCCTGAAGGGTCTTTCTGGTAGATTGTCCATCCTGTGTCTAAGCGAAAACTTCTTCTGTAATTTGGCGAGTACACAGTAATCATATTTCCACTACTGAATATGTGAAGAACGCCTTTAAAAGTTTCATTCTCGCATCCTCTGAATGAACTAAATATATTACTGTTTTCTTCTGTTCAGCTTGATTTTTACCTGTAAAGAATTAAATTAGATATAACACTTCCTAGTGTATACTTCTAATAACCCAGTGGTAGCTTTACATCTTAACTTTACTTTTCTTAGAAAAATCTTGGCATTTTATAATCTGCCAATGCTTTTTGATTTATTTTGTTATTGATTATGTCAACATCAAGTGGTAACTTTTTAATAAATAACATATAAAGTACACAGCTTTTGGATCAAACATTAAATCCTAGTGAATATGTATTTGCACCCTTGGAGAGATGCAGTTAGGACTTCCACATAGATTAAACTGATCTTTAAATGGAATTTTAACTGAGTGGTCAAGGCAAAGATGGATATCTTGATGCTGATATTATAACTAACATATTAGAATATATGAGTTCTTGTTGTATCATACCTGATCGTGAAGATAGAACAGTCTAGTGATCATCCTGTATGTGAAGTATTAAGTTTCATTTTCGGGGAAGGCTTTCATTCTTGGTCTTTAGATATCTGTTTGTTTCTCTGCTATCACATGTTTCTAATACCAGATATACATAGTTAACATTTAAAAAATATTTATAAACATCCAAGGCAGAGGAATGTGATCATTAATCTTACTGACAACTTGACTAAGATGCACCTAGCAGACTGGTGAGGCACATTTCTAGACATACCTTTGGGATTTTTCCAGAGATTATTGATATATAGAGCACCAGAGGTAGCAGGGTATGAAGGTCACTGTGACTGGGTGGCACCATCCAAGAGACTTGCAGTCCAGACGAAATGAAAAGGAAAGAAAGAGAAAGTAAGCCTGCGTTTTGAAAAGCTCCATTCTGCTTGGCCAGAATAATCTTTTCCTATTGCTATTGCCTGTAGAGATTAGTCTAATTTCTTCAGCTTGAACATAGACTCGTGGCAATGACTCTTGAAGATCGCAGGCCTTCGGTCCTGAACTGGCATGTCCTCCTTGGTCCCTTCTGTTCTGTGACTTCCAGTTTCTTGAACCGAGCAGTTACTAGTCCAGCTCTTCAGGGCACAGGCAGCCATGTGAACTATTTCCTCCTCTAGCACTATAAGGTTATCTAATCAGTCATCTTGCATATTTATACATATTATGTATGATATCTATATCTATATCATCTATTCTGTTTCTCTAAAGAACACTGACCAATAAAATATTTTCACCTCGTGTGCCTCACTTTCTCATTTATCATTTTGAACAAAACTTCTAAAGCTCTGTGAGTGGGCTCAGCTGCATAGACATAAGCAAATGATTCCTTATCATGCAGCTTGCATACTTTGAAAGTCTTCATCTTCCTTTCAATGTCATCATCATATTTCCAGGCACCAGTGTCTGCACCCATTAGGCTCACGTCCCCAGGGAGTATTCCTTCTGGCCAAGACTCTGTATCTATACTGTCCCGGATACCTTCCAAGTTCAGGGAAGTTTTTGAGCTCCCATTCTGAACTGTTGTGCAATTGCTCCACATGATAATTGTGGGGACAAAATGGATCTTCTTACCACCTTATGTCCACTGTGCTCTTATTATTACAATGTAACAAAAAGTGAGCTGGGAACTTAGGGAGGTCTCATTCAATGAAACATCCAATTCTTTGCTAGCAAAGGTAAAAAAGAATAGAATTCCCTTATGAGAGACAATTTTGCAACCAAGGAGATTATACTGTGTAATGGTTTGAAAGATTTGGGATCAGGTCGCCTGGCATGTTTGCAATCTTTCCATCTGTATAACATAATATCTGACATAAGCAATTTAAGGAGGAATGAATTATTTTGCGTTATGGTTCCAGAGGTTTCAGTCCATGGTCTGCTAGCTCTAGTGCTGTGACCTGAGGTGAGGCAGAACATCATGAGGGAAGGAGGAGGTGGAGAAAAACTGCTCCTTACATGCAGCAAGGCAGAAAAAGGATAAGAAAAAGCCTGAGTGGAAGGACTAAGAAAGAAGATGTATCCTTCAAAGGTATGCCAGTGATTCAGTTTGTCTTATTAGGGTCCAGTTGTGGATAAACCTCTGAAGTGTAAATCCACTGAGGGATTAATCACTTGATGAAGTTTGAGCTCACATGAGTCATTCAGTTCCTCAAATCCCATCAGCTAGCAACCAAACTCTCAACACGATGGATCCTAACCACATCTTCTCTTTTCCATAGATGGGTGGCATTTGAAAAGCCCTGAAATCTATTGGATACGAAAGTCACTGTAGACAAAAAGTAGCTAGTGATAGTATTTTTCCATTGCTTACTGTGATAATTAATTGAATTTAATGTATGTGAGACTTTCACAATAATAACAGATAATAAGGTGTCAATGTTAATTTATACTTCAGAAAAATTGTCCTACCAATAGATAACATATATTAGACTATTCTGCTGCACATTTGCAGAATTTATGCACTTATGCCTATTTCTTAAATTCTAGGGGTCTAGTTCAACAAGTTACATAATTTCTTGTTTTGTTTTACAGGAACTTTCTTGACCTACTGACATCTCAGTTGCCTCATCTCTAAAGTGGGAAGGATAGTGACACGTACTTCACAAAGTTCTTTAGGAATTAAATGAGCTAAAGTGTAAGTAGGTCCTGGTGTCATCCCTAACAAAGGGCCTGCTGTCTTACCAAAGCTTTCAGATCTGGATTCATGCCGTATGCAGAGTTTTACATCTCAGAGCTGCCAACAGTCTCAGAAACTACCAAGGGTAGATAGGGATCTGGGAAAATTTTGTTCCATCTCAACTTCTAAGCTGTCAAATCGTTACTGTCATTTAAAGCAATCCTGTGGAAATGAGAACATTTCTGTATCAAGCTCATTGTCGAACTCTGTAAAAGGTGTTTAGTTCACAGGGTTCATAACTGAGCTATAATCTTCTTAGTTCCGTGAAGCATTATATTTAATATGTTAGGGTGAGAAACAATAGGATATAAAAACACAAACTGAACTTTAAAATGTGCAAAAGCCAATTCTAGAAGACAGGGGAATAAAATAGTTAATTTTATGATGCATGTTTTATCTCACTTTCCTGGCTTAAGGCAAGCAACATATAGAAAAATACACCATTATGAACATACATTTGGATAGATGATCGTTAATTCCACTAAAACCATCCTATGATTTGAATAGGTTTGTCCACGGAGAAAACCATGTTGGAATTCAACCCACACTGTAGCGTATGAGGCAGGAAACACAGTCTGACTACAGTGTTTCAAGGTGAGCCATTCAGAGGGGGCTAGAATTAGGTAAGGTCATTAGGTTGGAGCCCCATTACTGAGTCCAGATAGCTTCCGGAGAAGGTGAAAGAGCAGCTTCCTGAACTCCTTCTCTCCTGCCCTGCTTTCCCTCTGCCTGCTGAGGTCTCTGGCAGCAAGAAGGGCATCACCGGTTGCTGATTTTCCATCCTGGACCCAGAGGACGCATGAAAACACATGTTTCCCTGTAGCTTTCCCAGTGTTATCTTGAGTGTCTCCCAGAAGCCATATGCCCAGGTCTTGGACTGCAGCCTGTAGTTTTCTGGATGCTGTGAAGCCTTCAGGACATGAGAACCAGTGAGAGGGACCCAGGGACCAGTGACCATGCGTTTGAAGGGAGGATCAGTAAGCTGACCTCTTCCAACCTGTTTCCCAGCTACCATGAGCTGAATAGTTTTTCTCTGTCCCACAGCTGCGTAGCTACCATCACAAGGATGAACACCTTTGAGATCCTGAGCCAAAATAAACTGTTCATTCTTTAAACTGAGAATTTTCTCCAGCATTTTGTCACAGTGATCCAAAGCTGATTAACACACACAGCTTGTGGTGTTTTGCTATTAGCAACTGAAAACGAATTGAGGTGATGGGAATCTGGTTACTACCTGCTATGTCTAGATGAGATCTTGCGTAGCAATGGCTGTCAGCTTCATTCCCTGCTGACCACTCCACTCATGGAGAGGCCCTCCCTGCTACAGGCAGAGTCCATGTGGTACAGGGTGTGATGCAAAACCTTCTTTAGAGACCTTCACTTTGTATTTTTCAAACCAGACATGCATTCATTGGAGGAAAACCAAGCTCTTGCTCTCTATTATTTGACTGAAAAAGGAGGCTCTGAAATAAGCATCCATACCCACTGTAGTAGATTTGGAAGCTTATCTGTAGTGCATGTCTGTGACAATGATCCTGCTTCCTTCTTCTTCCACACCCCTTCTCTAACCCAGGTCAGAACAGATGTAGGGCTCTAAATGTGGGGATACAGGACCTTGCTCTGAGATCAAGATGTTCTGCTTCTCAAGGTGTTCAATGTGAATTATCTAACTGGAAGAATAAAATCCCTAAAACACAGCTTCTTAGTGCTTTGGGGGCAGAAAAATCAGCACAGATCAGGAAAATACAGAAAATGTCTTAACCTGGAGCCAGTAAGTGTACTTGGCAACGGGCTGGCCGATGTGAAGTTGGGACTTTGTAATTTCTTAGCACTGTAGCACGTTCTACCACTCATTCCTCACGGTAGTCTCGTGAAGCACGCAGGGCAACTCTCTAAGTCACTATTCTCACTGCTTAGAAAAAATACCTGACGCTCAAAGAGGGAGCTCACAGTTTGTAGAGGATTCAGTCCAAAGTTGGCTGGCTCTGAGGCAGGGTGGTGTGCAGAAGGGAGACCCAGCCCGGGGCAGGCAGCAGGGCAGCCCATAGCAAAGCAGCACACGCCGAGACCAGCCTTCTTCCCGCTCCTCACACTCTGTCCCCACGTCCTGCCTTGGGGGCAGGGAACACTCACACCCAGGGCGGGCATCCTTAACTCTGGCATCCCCATGTAAATCAGGCCCGGTATCACACACTCAATCCCAAAATCACATGCTCTAGATCCAGCCATCTCCAAAAAGCCTCATCTATGACAGAATGAGGATTTGAAGGGGACATCTAGATAAAATCCATGACAGCAAATATTATTAAACTCATCTTACAAAAATATAAGGACTTCCTTAAGGTCACAAAATTGATAGATGTCCAAGGTAGATGCTACAAGTCTATCTCCAGACTCTCGGAGATTTCCCTACTACATCAAACTCTGAGTGTGGTGGCCTTTTGGATTGTCCTTTTGAAGCTACTCGCAGGTACATTTAGTTGTATGTGTATTCAGTATTGGTGTGGTTTAGACCTAGAATGCCCCCCACCAAAGCCACAAGAGTCAGAGGTGGGCTTTTGGAAGTTGATTGGATCATGATGGCCTATACTCATCATAAATTAATGCACGGCTGAATGTGCCCTCAGCAGGTGGAGTCTGGTCTGCAGAGGCATGAGCCGGCAGGGTGCATATCCTTCCACAGCTCCTCCCTCCTCTCATCCTTTCCTGGCTGCTGTAGATCTAGCACTTTTTTCTCGGCTGTGCCCCTCTACCAAAGTGCTTCTGCTCTATACCAAGCTGTCATGGGCTAAGAATGTGAGCCAAAGTGAGACCTCTTTTCTCTTAAGTTATGTCGTTTTGTCTCAATGATGAAAAAGTAGCTAGTGTGGGTATATAATATATGTATTTTTACTATAAAATTTAATGATATTCTCATTGCAAAAACATCAGCAAGAAGAACAAAGAATAAAATATGACCAGCCATGTATACATGATTACTGTTGACATTTACTGGATTTTCTAGGGAATCAAGTAAAATTGTCCAGTGGAAAAGAGCATATTTGAGGAGCAATGTTATTATGGTGCTTAGAAGTTTGTGCACATTTCCTACCTGAAATATTCCTGTTTTATTTTCCATCTTATAACTGAAGTTTTCATGAACTCAGAGTGCTGGCTAATCCCAATTCATGAGACCATTGTGAGGTATTTCTCCTGCTGCTTTTATAAACACCCCTCTTATCTGGCCTACTATTTTTAATAGTACATGTTTCCAGTGCATAACGATTATATTCCCTGTGGTGGTTGGTACATAGATATAATCCATCTGATTTCTTGTTTTACCCTTTTCTCGTACCCCTTTCCATGCCCTTCCCTTCATTCTTATTTCTATTGCCTTTTACAAAAGATCTAACTTCATTTTCCCATAATCTATCTTTTCTTTTGTTTTTTTTATTTACATTTTAGGTTTCTCATATAAGTATGTGTGTCTGATTAATTTACTGAACATTTTGATATTAAGTTGTTTCTATTTTCCTACAAAGGTCCCAAGTGTCTCCTTCTTATGGAAGAATCGTGTTTGTGTCCTGAGAGATCCTACCAGGTCATCTCAGCGCCTCTCCTCACTCGAAGTCCCTCTCCCTCTCCCTTAGTCTGTGCTAAGCAGAATGGGAAAAAGATGAGTGTTATCACGAAAATAAGAAGTTACTCCCACTTGGAACCACTTGTATGACCCTAAATAAGTTACTTTACTCTCTGAAGCTACAACTTTGTCATATTTAAAATGTAGAGGTTGGCTAGGATGATTTAAGTTTCCCCCAAGCCCTGACACTATAGAATTCCAAAATTGATAAACTAACCTCATACTGTGAATATTCAGTGACCTAATTTGCCAAAAGAAATTTCAAAGGTGGCCCTTCCTTCTTAGGCTCGATTCATGTATTCATGCATTTGTTTTTTGATATATTCATTTAACAGGTTTTCAAGTGTCTTTTATTAATATTTCTTTTAAAATTTTATTTCAAAGGGAATAAAACAGAACAATTGAAAGAAACAAAACAGGGACAAGACAGAAGGAAATCCACACTAGTAATTATATTTCACATTGTTAACCTTCAAATAGTTACTCAGATGGCCAGCTTTAAGCACCTTATAAGAGCTGAGTCTGATGAACCATAAGGTCTCTGGCATCCTGGAGCTCACTGTATCTCACAAACAGGCAGCAATGAGAAAATACGATGCTAACATCTTCAAATCCAGGAATTTATTAGCCCTCTGAGGGTTAGGGTGAGGAGTAGATTTCCTCTGGAGGGACAATTAATTAGAATTAAAAAGGAAGCAAGTTTTGCTAGCTATTGTATGATTTCTACTTATATAATTTAATAGTTGTATTTCAATAGTACAGCTCAAAAGTATCTAATATTATCTTTCACATTCTTGCTTAATTATCTTTTCACAATTTCCTACCAAAATTTCACAGAACACAGAAACGGTTTAAAATCTTTTACCCCACATCCCCAGCACATTTTTCATGGTATTAATTCACAAGTTTGATATAATGAGCAGTTACAGGAACAGGCGCAGATTTCTGCGAGTTGCTGACACCCTTGCTAGGGTTGAGCTAACGATCCTTCAAAAGCGACTGCATGGTTTTCATTCTGACAGTTTTCAGGACACTCATGAAGTCTGTACCTCCCGTTCCTCTGTGTTCCTGGCCCACTTGCTCGGTTTTCTCTTCCCCAGACTGCATTTTTGCGGGATCCAGAATGTAGGTCTTCACTATTCCCAAATGGTAGTTTCTCAGGGAGACCAGAGCTTGTACAGAATTATCATAAGCCTCCTTCAAGTCAGCATCATCGCTGGAGAGGACAAACTCACGGGCTGACGGGCAGGTCTCCAAGAAACGGAGGAAATCCTGGTGTGCAGGGGGCATGTATGTTCTCATCTCCTTGATGAACTCAGCTGCAGGTCCTAAAGGGCGTGACAGAGACGAGTGGTCAGCACGCCACAGTCTTCCCAAGACAGGGCAGCAAGAGGCTGCCGCCTGAAATTCGAACTGCTATTGCTCTTGCTACTAATGATGGCATTTATAGAAACTATTATGTTTTTGAAAATGGAAAGAGCAAAACTCATCTTTCATAATAAGGATTTTCCTCTGTGCATTCTTTCTTATTTTCTATTGTATTTGCTTTTCCAGCAGGATGGAGACAGAATGTGCTTACTCTGGGCTTGCCAGCTCATGACACTGAGTCTGAAGGAGTTAAAGGTATCCTTTAAAAATGTATTTTAATTAAGAAAAAGCATGTTTTCATTTAGGTCAGTGCTTTGCCCTTTGTTAAGCAGAAGCTTCAGAAAACAGAGGGAAATAGAGGGTTTTCTCCCCGCTTTCTTCAAAGCTCCAGAAGGAACATAATAAATATGCTCCTTTGGGGTCCTGACTGCTGACCCCACCACTGGTTCCCGACCCCTCCGGAGACACTGAGGTCTCTGAGTTCCCCTCCTGACCATAGCTGGATATCTTTTGCAGGTGACTTTCTTACAGTGACCATACATTTTCAGAATATGTGGCACTGGCTTCTTCAGAGGTAATCAAGTCTTAGTTCCATGCAGAAAGGAAAGTGGTTTTCTCGCAAGAAGGTAATAATTGCTTTAATGCAAAAGGTAATTATTTTCCATTTCCCACTTACCTCCACCTGTGGTCTGCTGTATGCCCAGAAGAGCATCAAGGCACTGAAAAATGCTGCTCTGTCCTGCGCTGCCTCCTGCAAATTGCTTCGGTTCATCCCAGACACCCTCATATAGCAGGCCATCAGGCAGCTTGGGGTTGCCTTTCCAGCTAGGCGAGAAAGGAAAGAAAAACTCGTCTTTGGGTTAACTGTTAAATTTCAGAAAATTTCCACCAGAGGTTAAGAAAAAGAAAAATGATTTGTTCCATACTCCGTATTAGTTTTTATGTATGAGAATAATAAATCACATATATTCTCAGAAAGGAACCTCATCTTTGCAGTAACACAGATCATTCACTCTTTAAATGACCCCTCCAGGGCATTCTTGGCTGAGTAAAAATAGAAAACACCTTCGGTTCTTTCTCTGTGTGTATTTTAGGGTTTAAATGGTGATCTAAACCCAATAGATATAAGGTGAACTAAAACCCAATAGGACCACCAGTAAAAAACTACCGGTCCAGAATCACAAAAGAAAAACATTTTCAACTTGTTTCTGGCTCAAAAATTATCTTTAAAGTGAAATAGAGGCTGACAGTATAGCTCAGTGGTAGTGTGTTGCCTAAAATGTACACGCCCTGGGTTTTATCCTCAGAATGGCAAATGGTAATGACAAAAATTATTATCACCAAACAAAATCAGAGACAATCAATGTTCTCTAAAAAAAATTTTTTTGGTGTGTTCTCTTCCTATTAATAGAGAGATAATGAATTTAAGGAAACAGATACATACCCAGACAAATATTTGCGAAGAACATTGTAAAATAGATCTGGGTCCACATACCCTGGAAAAAGATGGAATATGTTCAGTTTAACAGCATCCATCAGGGACTCTGAAGTGGGAAGAGTAGGCAGGACTTCAGCAAAGGCCACAAGGAATAAAGCACCAGGGCCTCTGCACCTGGGAAGTCCCTAGAGCCAGGCCTCATTGCCCTCCACTGCCCATCACTCGAGGGGCCTGAGGCACGGGGAGGGGCAGGGGATGAAGAGCCACCTGACCACTACTATGTGCCATCAGGTCAGAAAACTGTCAGCAATGCGTCACTTCAGGCGCTTGCTGTCAGTAGATAAACTGGTGCTGGAGCCAATTCAGGACAGAGGTGCAGCTCAGTGATAATGCACTTGTCCAGCATGCATGAGATCCTGGCTTCCATCCTGAGCACTGTGAATAAATGCTAAATTAATTAATCAATTAAATCCAGTCTCCCCACAGACCACACCCCAGGGCCGCCTTCCCCCCACATCACACATCTGATCTGAAGGTATGTTTCCCTGCCAAAGAGCAAACCACAGTAACTGCATGCCCAGAGGTAAACACTCACATATATGTGAAATTTATCATGTAGGGTGCATGTAGCTTTTTGTAAATAGCTGTTTAGGAACTTTTGGTAGCTTATTTAGCTGTTAATTTCAATAACCTTTGGACTCAATGGATGTTCTCCATTGTTAGCAAACTTGCAAAGAAACAGAATTAAGAAAGTCATGTTTATCAAAAGCTGACTTTCTCGGAACTTAAAATTGCCTCCCCTTCGGTGGGCTTCTTCCTGGGTCGTGGTAGCAGATAAGGCAGTTTCTTCAAATACAGTAGACTCAGGTTGGTTTCTGCCTTCCCTGTTTCACCCTAAACAACTTGAAGTGTTTCGTGATGTCTCTTTGAGTTTAGGCTCTTTTACCTATAAAATGGAACTAATAAAGTCAACTACACAGGAAGTATAAGGATTTTCTGACAAAAAATACATCCGTGAGAACACCCTAAGTAAGTGATAGTTGATCTTTGCTTCCCTTTTTCAACGTTCCGCACTTTGGCCACCCAGCAGCTGCGGTGCGAGCCCGCCTGCTGCCTGCCAGACACTTGCCGTGGATCTCCTCGAACACTTTCCGGGCCTTCCTCAGGCAGTCGGCGATGTCCAGCAGCGCTTGTCGCAGGCTTTCCTTGTCCCGATGCTGCACTGCGCTTAGGATAGTGGGGACTCTCTGAAAACCAACAAACAGAAAAGGCAAATTCATAAGATCTCGTAGCGCTGCACACTGCCACTAGAAAAACTTTTCTTGTCTTAATCTACAGATTAAATCTATGCTTTCATCTCTATTTCTAAAACTCAAAGCCACTGAACTTAACATTATTAATAACAAAGTGCATTAAAATTGTTCTGTCTTATAGAAATTTCAAATTCAATTCTAAATATATGACCTCTAGATATTATATTTTAGGCAATACCCCAAAATGTAATATTTCTATTAGATGATCTGTTACCTCCAATTAAGCAATCTAATGTTTTACTTAAGACAAAGCCAAGACATGTTAACTACAGAGAAATTGCTAAACACTGTGCATGAAACTGACATAAACTCCATAGATGTGGATAAACATACTTTAACTGCAGAAAAAGCTGCTGTCTCCACCAGCAGAGAAATCAGGAAAAAACCTTTACTGCAGTCTCCACCAGGAAATGAAAACAGAATGTCCATATTCCTAAGAAAATTGGTTAAAGCAAGCAAGAAATTTAGTATAGATGATGATATACATGTAAAGCAACTTACATTGTCATGAGCTTTTATTTATCCTATTTCATTGTCAAAGTTATTTTGTAAGAGGGACAGGGCACACCCTTAACATCTCTACTATATGTTTAGGAATATTAAGAATCAGCAAAAGGGGTCAGAGTGTTCTTAGGTTGTACATAGTTTGTCAACATGCTCATCACCAAAAGAAAACAAATGGGAAAAAAAGAAAACAAAAGGAAGGAAAAGAAAAAGTTATTAGGCCTTTGTCTAAAAGCAGATAATTAATCATAAATCAGATTAAACTGGGACTTGGAATTTTAATCCAGAACTTGTAACTGAAATTCCCCAAGACTGATCTGTTTGTATTATCCTATTAACTTTTCACAGTGTATTATGATAGATGTAGACTCATATTAATAGATGCAATTTTTTTTTCTTTTTATCGGTACCGGGGATCGAACTCACGACCACCTGCTTGCAAGGCAGGTGCTTATGCCACTGAGCTAAATCCCCAGCTCCCAATAGATGTAATTTTGAGGTAAACTTTGAAGGCGTAATCTTTTCACTTAAACACATATATGTATGTTCATATATGTATCTGTGAAGACCATTCAATTTCTCAGTGCTTTACAAGGCAATTGATGGAGAAATTCAATTTTTCTTTTACTGAAGCTGTGGCACTGGAGCAAACATGGTCGTGGTTTGTGCTCCACACCTGATGCTTCTTTGCTGCATGGTCCTGCATCGTCAGTCTCTGTCTCTGGGAGAGATGATACTGTTACTTTGTCTACAACTTGTTTATTTAAAGGAACTCTTTAAACTCCTGATTATAGCCAGCAAAGTTTCTACATTACCTTTCTATTAATGTATTCATTCATCCCTTTCCTATGCTGTTATCCTCATCAGTAATGATTTACACTCTCAGCTGTGACCCTTCAGCTCTACTGATACACAAAAGCTACGCTTTCATGATCTCCACATTTGCAATAGATTTTCTCCAAGCTCTCATCATTTCTACCTTCCAGCTAATTTCTCCTCGGTATTCTGGACTCCATTTGAATAGCTCCTTTAGGGACTCCTCCTTCTGAGTCTTTGATTTGAACAGAGCTCCCAATCTTCCTACCCCTTTTCCTGATCAGATGACATTATGCAATTTTCTCCCCATTAGTCTGTCTTTGCCCAGACAGGATATGCATATAATTACCTTAGATTCCTGAGCTCTTATCTATGTTTAATGCATAGGTTATAAGGATTGGGTAAAAAATGACAGGAACATAGTTACTGATTGACATTGCTTGCTTGTTCTGGCCACAGAGGTCATTAGGTTACAGATACACAGATTTATTTTCAATCTGTATTTATGCATATTAATTGCATACATATAAATATTTTTGAATGTATCTGTAGTTGACAATATCAGAGAGTCATCAGTATTACTATACTCATAGACATTGTTAAGGATCTATTGGTCCCTTCTTAATTAAATTATTTTTTGCCTGAATTCAGTCAATCATTTCAAAAATACACTTGAATTACACTGATAAAATTAAATGATTAATAACAAATAACAATGAAAGGAGAATCAAATACTTACTCATAGGTCATTGGTCTTATGAAAGCAGCCATGTCGTGATGAAAAGAAAGAAAGGAAATTTAAATTCACATGAGATTGAGTTATTGATATCAAATCAAATCCTATTGCTTTGTTGGAGCTACTGCTTTTGTTAGGCAAAAAAAAGGACAAGAGCATTTTCTGTTGTATACAGCTGTACTGCAATCATTACAACACGCACACCTAGATCCACAGCGCACTGTGGCCCTCTTGCCCCTGTACCCTGGCAAATCCTAACATTAAGCAGATCTTGAGCAGTTTGCATTGAAAGCCCAATTGTTCCAGCCTGTCCTGCCCAAGATGAGATGATTTAAAGGTAGGTGACTATGCAGAACTAAAGGAATAGAATCTCAAAAGCACGTCAACCAAAAGAAGCTAGACACTAAAGAGTATGCACTCTATGGCTCAACGGTGTAAAATCCAGCATCAAAATCTACTGATTTTTTTGTACAAAGCCGACTCATTTTTGCTAAGACAAATTAGAATGTAGTTACCTAGAGCAGAAAAAATAACTGGATAGAAATGAGCCCGAAAGAATTTGGGGAGATAACAGAGATATTTTCTATCTTGCTTGGGGTAATATTTACCTGTAGTTCAGAGTCTAATTCACAGTGAACCCAGGGTCTCTGCGTGTTGCAGGATGTGCTAACTAGGCACCTCTCTCATTTACACACAGTACATTTGTAGTGTCAGACACAGTGGTTGAAGAAACAGTACCCAATAACAGAGGAGCTGTGCGGCTAAAATTAAACCAGTAAACGGCAGGCCTTTGATGGCAACGGCCGTGCGCCCTGGTTCCTCCCGCCGACACAGCGTACATACCCACTGGGGTCCTTCTTCTTCCAGTTCGCCAGCACGCAGTCTGCATAAACCAGAATGGGAGGCAGGCCCAGCTTCTCGGAGAGCTCGCAGTAGGGCACAGCAATGTTGCTGGGCAAAACCTGCGTAAAGCATAGCTGTTAGGGTCCCCCTGAAACATCTTCTTCAGCTTCTTGGCTGCCAAAACATTCTATATAATGGCACTCTGAGACCAGTTAAATGCATTTTTCTTTCATATTTCATAACTTACCCCAATAATTATTAAATATTCACGTTGTGGATTTAGATTTGGGGGGCAAAATTTGACCATATGGAGGAAAAAGAGCAAAGTAACCCGGCACACTTTACTTTCCAAAGCCTGTGTCTTTCCATTCCTGGTGGCCTTATTAGATATTTTTATTCCATCATTCATCCAGCCACTCTCTGAACACTTGTTAAGCAATTGTTTTATGCAAGACATAACATTTCCACTGGTTAAAAAAAAAATCAGCGTTCTCATAGACACCTGAATTACCTGTAATTAAGAGTTTGGACATGATGCAAACTGAAAGTACAAATAAAATTCTGTTCCTGGTTCTCAGTTCAGAAGGAAATTCTTTTGATGACTCTTTTTTTTTTTTTTTTTTTTTTCTTTTAATAAGCTTCACTAGGGATGATGTCAGTGCCTGGCTGCCAAGGCTTACTCTTACCGGAAGGAAGAACTTCCTCTTCTCTGTTGTTTTAGTAAGAAGCTACACACATTCTGATCTCCATGAGCTGTGCTAGTGTTTTCCAGCTTTCCTTTCTGTTTCAAGTGTCTCTGCTTCTCACCACCACACCTGCTGCACCCATGATGCCTGCAGCTGAGCTGGCCATTCTAGGTGAGACTGTGATCTTGCCTCTGATTTGTTAGATTTTGAGATTAGAGTATGTCTTCTCTTTTTTGTATGATGTGGAATGTGGGTGAAGCAGTTTGAAGATTATAATAAAGTATAAGATATTCCCCGAGCAACTTCTTCTTTTCTAAATGTTTGGAGATGATTCATCACACAGGGAGCATGTACTAATCTGTCTTTAAGCAAGATATGAATAGAAAAATACCTACATAAGATAAAAATTACCCTTGTCAGAAAAGACAGACTTTCCTAAATAGCAGGAAATCCTTTCAGAATCTGTTTAATTTGTGATTTAAAGTTTAAGTACTATAATCCACAATAGTTTCATATTATTACAGTGGACAAATGAAATATGAGATGCTCAATAAATTTGCATGTTTACTGACATGGTAAAAATTTGCTTATCTGAATTTCAGATTTAACTGGACCTCCAGTTTTTGTACTGGCCTAAACTAGCCTTCCTGCACAGGATGGGAATGGAGGCACCAGAGCTGCGTGGCTGGGTAGACAATGAACACAGGCTGGCAGTTCAGATGCACTGGAATTCTGCCGTCCATCTGTCCTACACCAATCCCTAGAAGTATAACTGAAAAACTTTTGGTTGGTTTCGCAGTAAAACTCCCATCAAGGCTAACAATTTTTAGCAGCTATAGGCTCCTAACTGATACTATTTTATAAAAATGAAACTATGCCTAACTCCAAAATGCATAATATAAATACATATATAAAGATATTTTAAACTACATATTTTATAATTAATGCTATTTGATGTTGATAGTATTCAGTGAAACCAATATGTTTAACATATAAGCCCTTTAGCCTTAACTAAGGAGAGTCATTCAAAGATATTTATTATAAGTGTCTTTTATTCTAGGAAAATATTAAAAACGAGTAAAATATCTAGGAACTCATTGAAAAATTATAGTCTGAATGACAAGGTTTATTGCATGGCACCTAGGAAATACTCGCCATGTAAATTAAGTCACAAAGAAGCTATATATGTGTATGTACAAAATGGAACGATTGTGCTATGTAAGTAAAATACTAAAACATAGTAATGATAGCAGGTGACACAGTAAGTCAGTGAGTGATGTTTTCTTTTCCTCTTTTCTCTCTTGTCTAAACTTTTAAAGCACAGTTACAGTGCCTCTTGGAAATATTTTTTGTTATTCTTTTTCCTGCTATGAGAGATCGAACTTAGAGCCTACCACGTGCTTGGCAAGAGCTCTGCCTCTGAGCTGTCCCTTCTTCAACTGTGAGTTTGTACAGGAAGTGGAAACTACATCTCATTTCTGGTAAATGAAAATCCATCCTGTAGCATAGGAAACATCTGTAAATCTCCAAACCTTCTGGACATCGTCATCCCCCCGGTTCCACACGTAGGCCATGGTAATGCAGCCCAAGGCTAAGTGTGCGAGGCACTGCTGCTCATATTCCTGAAGGTCATCAGTGCTGAGCATCGGGAGCTGAGGACAGATGGAGAGATTTCACCGCCGTCAGTCTTATGAGGACTTAATTTCCAGCCCAGTGACCCTGTGAAGAAGCTATGTGAAAGGCAGACAGATATTACCAACCTTCTCGACTTCTTCACGAAGTTGGCCGGCCTCAATCAGTTCCGTCAAGTTTTTAGCAGTCAAAATCCAAGCATTATATTTCTCAGGAAGCTCCTCCTGGAAAAAGAAAAGAGAAAAAAAAAAAAAAACTAGGAGTTTAATTTGCTAGTGGAAGTCATCACAGACTGACGTTGGTCTTCCACCGACAGCCAGCCTGGCCTCTCCCTCTCTTTGTGCAAACTGTCCTGGCAAGCACTGACTGTCCAGAAGCACTGTGCTACCTGAATGACAGGCAGAGCTAAAGTCCTTCTCTGAGCCCTCCACTTCCTTTCTTCCAGCTCCTCTACTTGCCTGATTTCAAGTCAGCTCACAAGTTCTCTTGAAATCTTCCTTGCTGCTCAGCACGACAACAGTCTCTGCCAGTAGAAATGCTATGATTATACCTTTTTGTGCTGTTATCTGCTACTTTATGTTTCTTCTCAGCTTGATTTAAAATTCTTTGAAAGAGAAATGAGATGTATTAAATATCACTAGTGGATTAGGTACTTTGCACAAGGATATTTTACCTATTTCTCATTTACTTCTTCTAATAGTCCAGGAAGTTGTCTCTCTGTCATGAATGAAAGAATCCAGGCTCAGAGAGTTTATGTAATTGGTTTTGTGTATCTGGTTTAGTGCAACTCAAACATAAGTATCTTGAGTCATCATAGTGCAAAGCCTTTTTATATCTCAGTGTCTGATGGCAAGGATTATGTTATGCTATTAATTATATATATCTTGCAAGATCTAGCATATTACTGGACACACAAGAGATGCTATAATCAGAGAGTCCCTTTACCCATGGAGATGAGTTCCAAGACTCCCAGGGATGCCCGAAGCTTCAAATAAAGAATCAATCCACATATATTGTGGCTTTCCTGGACTTGCATCATTTCATAAGTTGAATTCCTTTTCCATCCCTTCCATACCAGGCATTGTGATTATAAATTTTGCAGTTTAAAGTCTCACAGCATAAGTTTCTTTATCCTTCACAATTTCAGATAGATTTGTTCTTGCCATTCATGATTTTTCTGTCTTTATTAAATCAAAAGTGTCTATCTTTTTCTCTTAAGGAAGCACTTTTTGGCTTCTCTTTGGAATATCTGTGTGGTCAGAGGTATCACCACTCTTGTGTCTCCTTCTCATGGCACACGATTTTGCTTTAGGTATGTGCTATTCCAGCTGCTATGTCACTGCTCCAAGCCTCTATGTCTTACAAGCTTCTGGTTCTCCCCTGCTGGGATACAGTTCCACTTACTCTGAAATGAAACAATTTCCTTCTTATTCTGGTCCCCCTTGGTGGAGGTGGATCTGAGCACTGGACAACTCTATCTGGCCATCTCACTTCTGACAAATTGATTGGTATGAACTTTTCTGGAATTCAACTTAGGGGATAGTAGTTTTTAAGACAAACATCCCCCCACATACCCTGTTTTTTATAGCTAAAGCTTGCAGGAAAAAAAGGATTTTATACTCTTATTTGAATCACACACTCAATAAACTGCAAATATTATTAATATAACCCTAAGTTACTTGAAGTGTCAACTCATGAACCTAGTCAAATTAGCTCCAAATGCTTTGTACAATTTAAGATGTATAAGTACAGACAGAGGCTTCCCTGTGACTAGTGGCCTATTTACAACATTGGCATTTTCAAATTGCTCTCCAAAAATGCACTTGTGATAAACATCTCTAGATTCCTATAGTACGATTTTTTTAAAATTGAAAGACTTTTCATAACTTTATCTCATCAGTTTCTATTTTTTTGTCCTAGGTGAGTAAGAATTACAAACTTGACTAAATTTTTAGGAATACAAACTGAAAAACAGTAAATGAGACCCAGTTGTTTAAATTCTGCTTCCAGTTGGCACTAATTTATCCATTGCTACACTACAGTTGTTCAGTAGAAGTTAAATTGCTCAGGTAATGAATGAGAATAAAACACATCTTTCCACATTTTACTGCTGTCTCTTACCAGTGGATTTGGCAGAGCAAAGCCCACCTCTTGGTCTATGCGGTACTTCCTGAAGATTTCCCAAGAGCTCTCTGTAGACGATGTTCTGTTTTGAGCCATGCTTGCAGACTGCTGTCCTGGCCCTCTTCAGCCTCTGCACAGTTTCAGAAAGCATTTATTTTTTATAGTGACTGTCAGAGGCAGTGACTAAATCTTAGTACGTAAGCAGGGAAAAATAACTTCCACTTTTGGGATAGTTTCATTTTCTACTTTCTGTATTTGGAGCTTGATAAACAATAAAACCACAAAATCATTATCTGTTCATCATATGAAAAAACTGAAAGTTGATAATTACATTCACCTCATTCACTCTTCAGAATATCATTGGCCCAAAAGTATTTGCCTAAAAGTAAGAGCTGTGTAGAAGTGTCCCAGAGATGTACAAAAACATCAATGCCTTGTGTCAGCTGCATTCAAATACAACTGGTGAGTAGTACACACTAGGAATTCTAGCACTCTAGGAGCCTGAGGCAGGAGGATTACCATTTTGAGCCTAGCCTGAACAACTTTGTGACTTAACAAGACTTTGTCTATAAATAGATACATCAATGGTAGATATAGATCAGTGTGTAGACTCTGGATCTGTCTAATTTCCAGTACTACAACAAAACAACAGACTTAGAAAACTTAAATTTAAAATAAAAAAGAACTTGTCACAGCTATATTACTAGATTACTTTGGAGACCTGGCCAAGATCCCCAACTGCCTGTAGGAGAAGTACGGCAAAAGATGAAGTTAAAGACAGAAACAAATTCAGTGATTCATAAAGGGAGGCTGAGAGGTCAGTGTCTCAGACTGGACAAAGACAAGACCTCTCCGGCCAGTCCCCCTTTTACTGAGCACATCCACACCTCTAGTGGGGGCAGTGAGTGACTTCCAGCACAGCAGAGACCATTGCTGTGGGCTGTTGATAAAACAAAGCATTCTTGCTAGCATGACACAGGGTTAATAGTTTGCCCCAAGTGAAGCCTTTACTGTGGTTACTACATTGCTTTGCAGATCCTTGTCATCCTCAGATGGTCTTGTCTTGCTCTGTGAGCCCCACAGCATCAGAAGCCAAAGACGCTTGGGCTGTGGCTGGGAGATAGTGGGAGTTTCCAGGTTCCAATCCAACCTACAGGGCAGGGCAAAGACTGCTTTAAACAATCTCTAGTCTCAATTTATAATTTGTGGTCCCCAACAAATTACCATTTAGTTCTTTGTCTTTGGGCTTTCATTTACATTTCCAGAGATGTTCAAAAACATCAATGTCTTGTGTCAGCTGCATTCTAATACAACTGGTGAGCCATTGAAGGGTCCCAAACTATAAATATACAGGAATTCATGAAGAACTGGAATGATGAACCTCACTACTGCCCCAGTTTTCTAGACTAGACTTTTCTGTGTGTTCAGTACAGTGGCATTCTCTCTTCATTTCTAAATCATCACTTCTCGGGAGCTGTCCTGCCCCTCTGCTATGTTTGGATTCCAGGCAATGAAGAGGCAACTGCCCTGCACATTTGGATTTTCTAATCTGTTCAAAGCTGAAAACAAGAATAAAACAATTTGAAAACATTTTTTTTTCAAAATACAAAATGAAGATTGCATTTTCCCAGGTACTTGCAAGTCTGTCTTCCTTCAGAGGCATTGTTTGAGTTAAAAGCAGTAAAGCAAAAGCAGAGGCCATGTCTGCAATTGAGAATCAAGAGCAAAAGGAAAAAGTCAGTGTCCAGTACACAGGGAAGCAAAACAGAGTTTTCACCCAACTTACCCACCCATAAGACAAATTATTAGTGAGCCACACCTTAGAATAATAGCTCTTATGCCTTTCTCTTTTACATGATGTCTCTTCTGGGAAAAGATGGTTTTACAAGAATACTACATCTTTATAAAAAAAAGTTAGGAAAACTGAAACCAAAACAATACATAAAGAGAATACTTCACTAAGCATTGTTCAAATAAATGAATCATTGTGTGGAAACATTGGGAACTAGAGCCAAGGGGAAAAATACCAAAAAATGTCACAAAGGCCTATTATACAGCCATAGAAGCAGAGATTTGACCATCATATTGAGAACTAGAAAATCTGTGATTCTTTCTATAACTTTTCACTCTCTGTGTCTGAATTTTTCTACATGTATTTACTACATGGAATAAAGTTAGATGATTTAAGGTTGACTTTGGAAGCAGCATACTTCAGAACACCTTTGATTTTACTCCTGCTGCTTATCTACAGAAGCAATAATCCTTGACTGGTCTTGTGATAGCTCAGACCCTGGAATAAAATCCAAGGAAGCAAGAAATTAAAATTTAGGGAGCAAAGACTTTATTTTAGGCCAGGCCTGGTGACGCATCTCCGGGAGCCAATATGGAGACTGCTGCACCTTACAGCTAAAAAGGTTGGGTTTTAAAGCTGAAAACCACAGGAATATTGGGAACTTTGACCCAGCTTGATAACTTCCTTGTAGTTAAACATTTCTTAAGGACAGCACATTGTATTGCAGATAGGCTGAAGGGGGTGGGGGTGGGGTTACAAGAAACTGAAACTTGAAGCTTTTATGGGAAATGGAGACTTAACCTAAGAATGGGGAGAGGAGGAGGATTTACAAGGAGCTTAAACTTAAGTCTTTACTAGTGATGGAATTTTAATCTCTATTGAAATGGCGCATACAGAACAGGAAGGAGGAACATTGGTTAGAACTAGGTTACAACAGTCTAATTTTTCTAGCTTTTTAATGTCTAAATTCAACCTCCTTCATATTTTCTAAAATGTATTTTTGGTAGATTTTATTTATTTTAGATAGGGTCTTGCTATGTAGTTTAGGTAAGCCTTGAACTCACTTTGAGCCTCCTGCCTCAACTCCCCCAAGTGCTGGGATTATGGGCAGGCACCACCATGCTCAGCTATTTCTAAACTGTATTTTGTTTTTATTGTTTCTTTGTTTTCAAATTCACAACCTCATGATTGCCAGATAGGTGCTACACCACTGAGCTGTCTCCCCAACCCCTAAACTGTATTCTCAATTTATCTTATTTTCTTTCTTCTCGATATCTTTTTAATTGTAACCACATATCCTTGAATGCAACTCTCATCTGGTTATAGAAGAATTTCATAATTTTATAATCTCCTATGGATGCTTTCTCTCCCTTTTTGCCTTTTACTAATGCCCAGGTTATGCTGGGGAGGGCCTGCAGAGCAGAGCTTAACCTTTTGATCTATGGATTCCTAGTTCAGGGTCCTAAAACAGACTCACTATCTGAGTGTGTTTCCCTTGTTCACATGCCCTGGGGTTTTCTTTTTGCTATGCTGATATTTCACAATGCGTCCCCCTGGCTACCAACTACATTTCCAATTGTCCAATGAGCATCTCTATCTGAAAACCATGAAATTTTGTTACTGTGGACATCATTGCCATCAGCAACATTAGCATTAGCACCATTAGCAGGATATCTGTGGAGATACTACATCCAGAGCCACAATAAACACAAATTTATTTATTCTTCAATATTATTCTCTATGATACATTCATCTGTTTCCTGACTATTATGTTATGTTAATTTATAATATGTCACTTTATTTTTAAAGTGAAATACTTCCCAGTTAAAAATGATCTAGCATATGCAAAAAGCGTTACAGCAGTCATCAAAATACCAACATCAATAAACATGTACCATTAATATTTATGTGATTAAGCATTAATAATAACCAAATTTTATTGAGACCTTACAAGCTTAAGACATTTTCTAAAATTTTAGGTTTTAGACGAGTTCTACAGGTCTTGGGCCAACCTGTGCCACCCCCAGTAACCCTCTCTCAATCTGGGGAACTGGTCACACAGAGGCAAGTGTTCGTGCACCACCCTGAATCCCAGGTGTTTAAGATCATCGCCCAGTGGTCAAGGAACTGCTCAGATTCCTGCCACACTCGACCAGCGCTAGCTCCTTAGGGTTTCAGCCTGCCTGCGCCACCCCCAGTGACCCTTTCTCAATCCAGGGAACTGGGCAGCTGGAAGTCAGTGCCTGTGCACCATCCTGAGCCCTGGGATTTTAAGATCATCCATTCCAGTGGTCAAGAACCCTCCCAGCTTTCTGCCACACTCAATCTGCTCCTTAGGTTTCCAGCCTGCCTGCCCCACCCCTAGGGATACTCTCTCAGTTCAGGGAACTGGCTGGCCAGAGGGCCAGGGGAAGCTTTGGAACAATATTTGAAACAGGGAAATATAAAAAAAAAATGACAAAAAAAAAAAGACCAAAATGCAATCTCAAACCTCCAGCCCATACCAAGAAAGCTTAGTAGCTATGTACATAGAAGAAAATATATGCAATACACCTAAAACACATCAAATAATAGCAGTAAATAACTGCAGTTATTTACTGCAAATAACTGCAGTAAAGAGGCAACTATGGGAAGCTATAACGGAATTCAAACTAGAAATAATCTACAAGATAAAAGAAGATATGATAAAAGTAATGAAAGATGCTAAACACATCTAAAGAAGACACAGTTAAAAAATTAGAGGAACAAAACAAAAAGATGGAATTCTTGGATGAACAATATAAGAAACAAACAGAGTACATGAAGCAGATTCAAAGAGAATACAGGAAATCAAAAGTTCCATTGAAAGCTGTCAAATCCACCTTAACGAACCTGAAGATAGAATTTAAGACCTCGAATACAAGATTGTAGCTAGTGAACAGGAAAGGAAAGATCTTTTAAAAATAACAAGGAATCAGGAAATAACAATTCAACAGCTGCAAGATGATGCAGAGAAAAACAACATAAGATTGATAGGGATAAATGAAAAAGAAGGGGACAACACAAAGGATATCAAGAGGATATTTAGAGAAGTAATAGGTGAAAATTTCCCAAACATGAGAATGGAAACTGACATCAGGATCAGTGAAGCATATAGAACTCCAAATAGCCATACCAAAAATAAAACTATACCCAGACATATAATAATCACCATCCCAACATAAGATCCAACATAAGAATAGAATATTAAAAGCTGTTAGAGAGAAAAGAAAGATCACCTATAAAGTAAACCCTATTAAAATTGCAGCAAACTTCTCAGCACAAACAATAAAGTCAAGAAGAGCATGAAGTAAAGTATTTCAGATCCTAAAGAAAAATGATTTCCAACCT